TGGAGAGATCAACCCTCCTCTTTCCCCAACTCCAGTCCCATTTCTATTGCTGAGGGTTGGATTCAAACATTCAAGCCTTTTCAGCTTCTCTGTACCAATCGCTGGACGTATCGGAGATACTGGTTTCAATGGTTGTGTGTGTCTGCGCGTGTGTTTTATCTGCCTCTATGTATGTGTTACCTCTTACCACTGAACGCTGAGTAACAGCCAACCATGAAATCTCCCCAGCACGCGGCACGCTGAGCTGGGGGCCATGTGGCTGCAAGCAACAGTCGTGTGGACACCTTTATTGTGGCTTCGTAGAACCCATCAGAGACTTCTGACAGCCAGAGCAGTGAGATCATCAATTTGTGAGGGTTTCTTTTTAATGTTTCTTTATTTTTGAAGGAGAGAGAGAGACACAGAGCGTGAGTAGGGGAGGGGCAGAGAGAGAGGGAGACACAGAATCCGAAGCAGGCTCCAGGCTCCAAGCTGTCAGCACAGAGCCCGACGCAGGGCTGGAGCTCACAAGTCTTTTTTTTTTTTTTTTTTAATGTTTATTTATTTCTAGGAGACAGAGAGAGAGACAGCGTGAGCAGGGGAGGGTCAGAGAGAGAGGGAGTCACAGACTGAAACAAGCTCCAGGCTCTGAGCTGGCAGTCAGCACGGAGCCCGACGCGGGGCTCGAACCCACCAACCGTGAGATCATGACCTAAGCGAAAGTCGGACGCTTAACCAACTAAGCCACCCAGGCACCCCTGGAGCTCACAAGTCTTGATTGAGATCATGACCTGAGCTGAAGTCGACTGAGCTGCCCAGGCACCCCATCAGGTTTATCTTATAAAGTGTATTTATTTATTTGAGGGTGAGAGAGAGCGAGCGTGAGCGGGATGGGGCGGAGAGAGAGGGAGAGAATCACAAGCAGGCTCTGCACTGTCAGCGCGTAGCCCTACATAGGGCTCGATCTCACAAACCATTAAGATCATGATGGGGGCCGAAACCAAGAGCCAGATGCTTAACTGACTGAGCCACCCAGGTGCCTCTAAATTTGTGTCATTTTAAAGCTAGTCAGTTGTGGTAATTTGTTACAGCAGCAACGGAAAACGAATCTGCGGTAGTTCGCTGCTGCTCTAGGAAGGAATCCATTTCCTTGCCTCTTCCTGCTTCTAAAAGCTGCCGTGTTGACTCCCACCTTTGCCTCCATTGTTACATCTCGACTCTCTGCCTCGGACCCTCCTGTTTCCCTTTTATAAGGACCTCGGTGATTACATTGGGCTCACCCAGGCCGTCTGGGAAAATTCCCCCATCTCAAGATTCCTAACCTAATCACATCTGCAAAATCCCTTTCACCATGTAAGGTAACTGTGATATTGTGATTTAGAGTAAAAAATATATATTTGGTCTTCACGCCTGTTTCTGGCAAAGAGTTCCTAAAACCCTTGGAATTTCCTAAGTGGTAAGAGCGATAATTATCCCTCACAAACTGCTTTCACCACCCCTGAGTGTATGTGAATGCACTGACTTTTCGAAAGCATCTGCGGATGGGGGCTGGTTGCCAGGGAAACGAACCACATGACCAAAGGGTTGGAACTTTCAGTCCCACCCTCCTTGACCTCAAGGAGGGCAGAGGGGCTGGAGGTTGAGTCAACCACCAGTGGCCAATGAGTGAATCATTCATGCCTTTGTAACGAAGCCTCCACAAAAACCCGAAAGGGCAGGATTCGGAAGCATCGAGGTTGGTGAACACGGGGAGATTCGGGGAGAGGGGCACACCTCAGAAAGCATGAAAGCTCCATGCGTCTTCCCCGCCCCTTACCGCGTGCCTGTCTTCCATCTGGCTGTTCCTGAGTTCTATCCTTGCATCATAAGCCAGTGATCTGGGAAGCAAAATGTTTCTGAGTTCTGTGAGTCATTCTAGCTCACTCATCAAACTGGTGGCGAGATCATGGGAACCTCCAGTTCATAGCCAATCAGAGCTACAGGTAACAACCTTGGCTTGTTAAGTATCGGCTAAAGGGGGGCTGAGGCGGGTCTTAGAGGTCTGAGCCTGAACCCGTGGTGAGGAGGGATGCTATCTCCATGTAGACAGTGTCCGAATTGGGTTGAATTGTAGTGTCGGAGAATTGCTTGGTGGGGTTGGGAGGAAACAGACCCATCAAAGTGATATAATCAGAGGCTCCAGGGATTAGAACTTGATCGTGTTTGGGGGCGATAACTCAGCCTGCCGTAGTCCACCCTCTGGCCCCCAAAGATTGATCCCCGCCCCATGCAAGATACAACCAGCTCCACTGACTTGCACTCACAGGATTACTTACTCGCTAGAAATATAATGACGAATTACTGTGCGTTAGGGGCTTTTGTAGACACTGGAGATCAGCCAGGAGGGCTCAGATCTGTTGGAAGAAGAGAGACAGTAATTTTTTTTTTTAAGGAGTATGTTATAGTGATGGATGGTGATATGCAGTTTTGGGGAAAAAACAGACGGAGAGTTTAAATAAGGCGGTTTGGTGGCGAGTGTGGGAGGGAGGTCTCATTGACCTCATGGACTGAGGTGGCCTGAGGGAGCAAGCCAAATGGTGAGTTAGGAGCTGGGACGCCAGCACTCTAGGAAAAAAAAAGAACTGAATTAGCAAAGGCCCTCTGGGGGAACAGAGTCTGGGGAAATGGACTAGAAGAGAAAGTGTTTGTGTATTTATTTTGAGAACGAGGAAGGCCATTGAAGTTGATGGGGGTCATGGAAATGATCTCTCTAGTGAGATTGTAGAGATCTCTTGGGAGAGGAATATTGAAACCCTCCAGCCAAAGATAACCAGACATACACCATATGCCCAGAGTCCACAAGGATGGGCTTATGTGCAGGGAGACGGGACACTGAGGAGCTCTGGAAGGGGGGGCATGTAGGATGGGGCGGGAGGGGATTGGTCTAGTGTTTGGGCTTATATTTGGTAATTTTAAGCAGGATCTAGGGTAGCGGGGACCAGCCCTGTGTTCAAGGCAGTCAGCAGTTCAGTATAAACTTTAAAATCTAGAATTTCCCCTGTTGCCCAAAGAAAAAGAGACTCATTCCCTTCTGCCCTTCTCAGAGCATTTCCTTGAGAAATTGCGTATGTGCAAATCTTTCCTCTGTCTCTATGATGTGTACACAAATCTTTTTTGTCAATGCTATTTTTTTTATCATGGTAAACTATATATAACAGAAATTTACCATTGAGCTATTTTTTAATGTTTATTTATTTATTTTTAAACGTTTATTTATTTTTGAGAGACAGAGAGTGAGCAGGGGAGGGGCAGAGGGAGAGAGAGGGAGACACAGAATGTGAAGCAGGCTCCAGGCTCTGAGATGTCAGCACAGAGCCCGACGCAGGGCTCGAACCCACAAGCCGCGAGACCATGACCTGAGCTGAAGTTGGATGCTCAACCAACTGAGCCACCCAGGTGCCCCAGCACTGAGCTATTTTGAAGCATACAATCCGATGGCATAACGGGCATTCCCAATGGCATATAACTGCCACCTGTATCTCTTTCCAGAACATTTCTTATCACCCTAAACAGAAACGATAACCAGTAAGCAATAACTCCCCATTGCCGCCTCCCTCCCAGCCCTCGGTAACCACTCATCTACATTCAGAGTCTACGTATCCGCCTCTTCTAGAAGTTTCACAGAAGTGGGATCATTACAATTTTCATCCTTTTGTGACTGGTTTCTTTCACTTAGCGTAATGTCTTCAAGGTTCATCCATGTTGTAACACATATCCGTGCTCCATTCCTTTTTATAGCTGAATAATATTCCATGGCACATAGGTGCTACAGTTTGCAAATCTTTTTGAAAGGCTAAACAAGCCGGGGCGCCTGAGTGGCTCAGTTGGGGCTGAGTTGGTTGGGATTCTCTCTCTGCCCCTCCCCTGCTCACATCCACCCCCCAGAATAAATAAATAAAATTAAAAAAAAAAAAAAAAACTAAACAAACCTTCTGACAGTAGTAAAACCCAGGAATGTTTTCCTTATGGGCTTGAGAAACATGTCTTTGAAATGTAAATATCAAGGAAGCTAGAGTTCTTATCTCCCTGTGACCTTGGGGGTTTAGCTTAAGCCTCTGGTTCCAAACTGTAACCACTGGCCTGTGGTGAAGATAAGAAGTTTTAATACTTCCTTGAGACAAAGGCAATTTGCTAGCACAGTGTGTACCCCCGATTGCCAAATGTGCTCAGGACGAGCTAGGAAAGTTGTGATCGGGTCCTCAACCTTGAGGACAAGATAGCATTCATCTCGAGAGCATGTATGTGATGCGGTACTTGGCTGTATATGAAAAGGGTGTAATTTCCCTCTGTGTAATCTCACTAGCGATTGCGTGCTGTGCCTCAAGTCTGGTTTAATGCCTGCTCACTATTGAAACGACTCTTTTCTAGAACTGTGGAGAGGATTTTCTGGATTGGCAGGAGACTTGAATTTTTTCCCAACAGTGTCTTGGTCATCTTTGATCAGAAATGGGCAGAGGGAAGGCCTGGATGGCATTGATAAGAATATAAGAGTTGTTCTTAAGAATGGCCTACCGATCACCGGTGCAGCCGTGGGATCTGCGTTCCACCTAAGGAGCTGAAAACTTTGTTTACTAAGGTCTCAGTGTCATTGGGACTGATTTCCACATTCTCGGGGCCAGGGTGAAAGCCAGGGGGACATTTAGGAGCCACACTGGGGACAGGGACTGAGACTGTGGCTGAGGAAATGGAGAGAACGAGACAGATTAACAACCATTGGGAGTGACCTGTTTAGAGAAGAAAATTGCTTCCTCATTCCAAAAGAAGAAAAAAGTTTTCTCGGAGAAACTGAGGCAGAGAGACCATAACCTCTGTTTGGGCATTTGAATACAGATAGTGTTTCCCCGCACACTCAAGGCAAGATCCTAACGTGTGTGCAGTGGTTGACAGCTTGGAAATCTGGACCCACCACCACATTCCAATTTAGAGCTGCCCAGCTAGGCTTTTTCCCACTTCCTGATCCACAAAATCAAGGACACAAAAGCAAAGTTGTACTATGCTGTTTAAATCTTGGGTATATTTGTCACGCAGCAGTGGTGACTGACATATGTGCACAGTTTCGTTAATAGGAAAATCTGATGTTCCCTCCCCGCCTTTGCCTCAAAAAGTGATATTTACTCAAAGAAAAAAAATGACATGAAGTCCATCCCTTGGCTCTCTTCACTCCCCCTTCCTGCTCCTCTTCAGCCCCACATGGACTGAACCCTGGGTAGGCTTAGGTAGCAAGACAGCCCCTCAGATGAGGTCAGGGACATTGAGGGGCATCTCCTCAATGGAGGTGTGTAGAAGGTCTTGACGTCTCAAAGAGTCTTCTTGTCTTAGGAAGATTTGTTTTTTTGTTTTGTTTTGTTTTTTAATGTTTTATTTATTTCTAGGAGAGAGAGAGAGAGAGAGACAATGTGAGCAGGGGAGGGTCAGAGAGAGAGGGAGTCACAGACTGAAACAGGCTCCAAGCTCTGAGCTGGCAGTCAGCTGACGTGGGGCTCAAACCCATGAACCGCGAGATCATGACCTAAGCAAAAGTTGGACACTTAACAGACTAAGCCACCCAGGTGCCCCAGGAAGATTTGTTTTTATCCCCACTTTAGATATGAGAAAACCGAGGCACAGAGCGGTTAACCTCTATTTGGGCATTTGGATGTGGATGGGGAGGGAGAAAGAGTTGCCAAGGATGGCACCAAGTTCCGGGTTTGCAGGAATGGATGGATGTCAGTGTTTCGCAAGGCAGGAAACACTGGGAGAGATCAAGGTGAAGTTGCTGGAGGGTGTCTGTTTCCTCCTGGATACGTTGAGTTTTACGGACCCAAAGGGAATGTCGAGTGAGCAGTTAGTTCAGCAAGCCTAGATCTCAGAGGAGCAGAGAGAAATGTGGACATTTCGAGGGGGTTTAGGGCGCCTGGCTGGCTCAGTGGGTGGAGCATGCGATCTTGATCTCAGGGCCACAGGTTCGAGCTCCACATTGGATATAGAGATTACTTGAAAAAACTTCCAAAAATAGGGCCACTTAAAAAATAAATAAAGGCAAGTTCTTTAAAGAGGCAACTGAGTTAAAATGAGGTCATCAGGATGGCCCCTAATCTAACAGGACTGGTGTCCTTCTAAGAGGAGAATGGGACACAGACGTACACGGAGGGAAGACCTTGTGAGGACAGAGGGAGAAGATGGCCATCCACGAGCCATGGAGACAAGCCTCGGATGAAGGCCACCCTGCCCACACCTTGAACTCAGACTTCTGGCCTCTAGAACCATGGAAAAAGAAATTTCTGTTTAAGCCATCCACTCTGGGCTGCTTTGTTACAGTGCCTTAGCAAACTAATACAATCAGTGACGTACTTTTGAACAAATATATTGAGGTGAAATTCACACAATGTAAAATTAAACATTTCAATTTTTTTAAGTGAGCTCTACACCCCACAACGACCCTGAGATTAAGAGTTGCATGCTCCTCCAACTAAGCCAGCCAGGTGCCCCTAAAACTAAACGTTTAAAACTGAGCTACTCAGTGGCAGTTAGTACATTCACAGTGTTCAACCACCACCTCTACCTAGTTCCAGAATACTGGAACAGTTTCTCCCCATTCCCCAATAACAAACCTGCATCCAGCACTTTCGCTGTGTCGGGCACTGTTCTATGTACTTTACCTCTATGTGCTCATTTAATTCTGTTGACAGTCCCGGGAAGCCAGTATTCGTATTATTATCCACATTTTACAGATGAGAAGCTGCCCCTCAGAAAGTCTTACCTGCTTGAACTGAACAGCTCATTAGACAATTGCAAATAAGACAGTTATTGAGGGTCGGCTACGTGCAGGGCCTGGGCAGAGTCACTGGGCACCCACATGTGTATCAAATATAGTCCCGATGCTGAAGTTGCTTTTGATCTAGGAGGCAAGATGAACGTTGAATAGTTACAAATTAAGTAAGTAATGACAAGACTGAAAAAACCTGGGAAGGAATCATACTTGGGGCAGTGGGGCTGAGGTGAGGGAAGAAAGGTCGTCTGGAGAAAGAGAAGGAGTAGCTAGGAGGAGGATATTCTGGCACAAAATATATTCTAGGCAGTGGGGCCAGCATACATGTGAAGGCCAGAAGTGGAAGGAAAGAGATCAGGCTGGCTGGGGCGTGGCTAGTGAAGGAGAGAATGGCTTCAGATAGGCAAGGAGAGGTAGGCAGGGGTCTATCCCTTTGCAACAGTGTTAAGAGATTTCAGATTCATTTCTAAGGGCAATAGGGAGCTATGGATGGCTCACCCTCCCCTGAAAGTTAACTTTACAACTTTATTCCTTTCAGGGCATTCTGATTTCCGAATTAGGGTGGGGGCCACCTTGTTGAGCCTCTATGTACTGACAACAAATCGTTCTATGCCTGTGTGTCCCCCTCCCCTCCCAGCTGGAATTCAAACTCCTGGGAGGCAAGGACAGCATCTTACTCACATCTGTATCCCCAGGGAACACAGCACAGGGCCTGGGTTAAAAATAATAATAATAATAGTAATAACAGACACAGGCACCAAAAGTAAAGTGCCCACCCACACTTGGATGGCAATTCCTGCTTTGAGGGTTCAAACCCAGGCTCTACCTTTTCAGTGTCTGTGACTTTGAACCAGTGGCTCCCACCTTTATGAGCCTTGTTTTCCTTATTCATAGCATGGGTCTCATGGACAGTACCTAACATTCAGGGCTCGAATAAGGAGAAAGAGCCTGTAAAATTCTTGGCACTGTACCCACTCAAGAATATTAAATTAGGTATTACGACATACTGGTTTAGAGCACAGTCAAGCAGAAGTCAAGCGGATCCGAATTGACATCTAGGACACGGGATTCCAAGTGTGTCCGTTTATCTCCCTGAATCTCAGTTTCCCCATCTCTGACTCAGGGAGATAAGAGTTGATAGGGTTCCTGGGAAAAATCTGATGAGCTCATGCACAGGAAGCGCTCCGGACACACAATTAAGAGGGACTCTGCTTTGATCGCTGGTTCGCGGCACCAGGACCCACCGCACAGCAGTCGGTTTGCGAGAACGGCGCGTTCCCCTGGGTCGGCCGCGGCGCGCGCCGCGGGGGTGTGGCCACGGGCGTGGGCGGGGCGATCTGAGGGCCGGCCCCTCGAGGCGGGTGGGCGGGGCGAAGCGGAGGGCCCTGGCGCGCGCGCGCGGCGGGCCCAGGTACGCGGACAAGATGGCGGCGGCAGCGGTCGACAGCGCGATGGAGGTGGTGCCGGCGCTGGCGGAGGAGGCCGCGCCCGAGGCGGCGGGCCTCAGCTGCCTCGTCAACCTGCCCGGCGAGGTGCTGGAGTACATCCTGTGCAGCGGCTCGCTGACGGCCGCCGACATCGGCCGCGTCTCCAGCACCTGCCGGCGGCTGCGCGAGCTGTGCCAGAGTAGCGGGAAGGTGTGGAAGGAGCAGTTCCGGGTGAGGTGAGCCCGCCGCCCCGCCGCCCGCGCCCCCCGCCCTGCGCCCCCGGGGGCCCGGGCCTGGCCGGCCCGCGCCGCCGCCTCCCGGCCCGCGCGCGCACCCCTCCCCGGCGGCCACCCCCGGACCCCTGCCCGCGGACCGACAGACAAAGGCCTCCAGGCCGCCGGCTCCCGGGGCCCCTGGGGTCCACGCCGCTGCCCAAATTGCGCATCGGGAAGCGCCCGGGAGCCGGGCCCGCCTTAGAGGGTGGCGACGGTAGGATCGCTGCTGATCCATCCCGCGCGCTTCTTTGTGCCCGACTCCGAGCTAAAATGTTTACAGCGACCCGGCGACGCAGCGATCCTAACAGCCCTTGGAGGAAGCGGACGCAGCATCCCCTGCTCGCGGGCGGAGAGCACAGATTTCGGGGTGGGACCGCGGAGAAATCTGGCCTTGCGGGGTAGCGACTTCCCTTCCCCGTGAGCCTCAGGCATCGACTTGAGGCGGCGATCGTTAGACCTGCCTTTCGCCGTTCGTTATTAAGTGAGGTGATGTGTAAGCAGCATGTCCGCGGGGCCCGGCTCTGGGGAGGCCCGCAGGAAATGTTAGCAGCCCCTGTCGTCACTGTTATTGTTGCTGCAACTGTCCCCATTTTATGGATGGGGAATGGAGACGCAGCGTTCCCACTGCCTCGCCAAGGTCACGGCGCGAGCGAGCGAGCGAGTGAGTGCGTGCGTGCCGGGTGGAGATCTGAACTCGGTCCATCGCCAGGGCCCCTGGTGCGGCTAACCCGCACCGCTCTTGCCATGTGTCTCAAAGGCTGCCTTGGATCTCGCGTGTCCGCCTTCGGGTCTCTTGTGAAGCTGAGGGGGTGTCTCTCTCCTTGTAGGTGGCCTTCCCTTATGAAACACTACAGCCCCACCGACTACGTCAATTGGCTGGAGGAGTATAAAGTTCGGCAAAAAGCGGGGTTAGAAGCCCGGAAGATTGTAGCCTCCTTCTCAAAGAGGTTCTTTTCAGAGCACGTAAGCATCTGTCGATGGAGCTCCGGGCTCCTGCCTCCTAGTGGGGCCTGTTTCCGGGTCTGGAGGCTTCGGCTCCTCCAGCCCTTCCACACCCCCCTTTCAGCCCCTCTCACAGTCCCTCACTCACTCAGATGGCCGCAGGAGTCATTGTGTCCTTTTCCTCTATCCAGCACCGCGGAGCCATTTGTCCCTGCTAGCTTTACTTTTCTAAAGCCCGAGAGAGAATGGGGGCGGAGGGGGAGGGACGGGCCGCAGCACAATGTAGAGGGAATCCAGATGAGGTTCTTTCCCTCCAAGGGGGTTAAAACCCATTTTTCCCAGCCTCCCCTTGAGTTTCGGGGATCCTCAGAGATCAAAGGGCTATACAGATTTCACCCAGTAGTTTTCCCCCAAGGGTTGACCAAACGAATACGGTTTTTCTTCTCTCTGGCTTGGAAGATTCTAAGCGGTGGGGAATAGCTTGATTTCTTAAGGTTAACAGAGGATCCGGGGCTATCTGTAAAATCAGAATTATTATTCCCTCAGTTGAATTATCTTATATATCGTTAGCCCCGAAAAGTTTTTGTGTGTGTGTGTGTGTCTGTTGTTTTTCTTAATATTGCTGAAATGCATGGGGTTTCTGTTGTTTTTGTTTTCCCACAAAGTGTCTCAGAATTTGTGTGTTGGGTCCTGGTTCTTTTTGTAACTCTGGGAAGTAGTTCACGCTAATCTTTTTAAGTTTATTTCTTTATGCGGGGTGGGGGGGTGTCTAGAAGTAGAGCCAGTCTGGTTTATTTATTTTTGGTCTGGGAAGTAGTTCACGCTAATCTTTTTAAGTTTATTTCCTTATGCGGGGTGGGGGGGCTGTCTAGAGGTAGAGCCAGTCTGGTTTATTTATTTTTGGGTTGGTTTTTGTTTGTTTGTTTGTCTTTTTTTTTTTTATTTTTTTTTTTATTTAAAGAAACTGTTTGTCCAAAGCGAGGCTTGAACTCATGACCCTGAGATCAAGAGTTACATGCTCTACCAATTGAGCCAGCCAGGCACCCCTGATTTATTTTACTATCATGGTTTACCGAAGATTAATTCCTCTTCTCTTTTCCTTCTTTTCTTTTTTTATTTTTAAGATTTTATTTTTAAGTAATCTCTATACTCTAAATGGAGCTCGAATTTACAACCCCAAAATCAAGAGTTGCATGCTTTACTGGCTGAGCCAGCAAGGCGCCCCGATTAATTCCTATTTTCTCATTTTAATTAATACTGCTTCATGGAGCTCATACATGCAGAGCATTTTCAAGGCTTTTCAAGTTTTGAAAGGGAAAATTGAACTTTGGACAAATCTGAACGTATTCCCCTGGGGAGAATAAAACTAGATATCCCCCAGTATAATTCATTTCTATAAATGAACGTTCTTTGATAATAGGATGGACAGTTTATGTCCTGGATGAGCCAGGCCCTGGCCCGAAGCATTCATTGCAGATTTTAAAACCTGGTACAAATGAGTTTGCATACATGTGTGTATATGGGCGATGGATGTATTTGATGCACTTTGTCCTGCGCTCCTGATTTGCAGCCTCTACTTCTAGTCCAGCTGGTTTTGTGCGCATTTTTGACAGTCTGTGTGTGTGTCCAATAATGATGAATTGTTGTGTTTTTTTTCCTTAGCTCCCTCTTTCCTGGTACCACTGCCTAATTAGAAGTATGTCAAGGACTTTGAACATAGTAGGGATATACTTAAGATTGATCTGGGGGCGGATGATTACTTTGGCTCAGGACCTTTCTATTCCTGTGTTCTCTGCATGCACACAGGTTGACATGAAATTTCCTGGCTACTTTTAAAACAAAGTGGGAGAATTAATGGAATTTTTAAAGCTCATTGGTACCATCACCTAAATTTACAGAGAAGATAGGCCCAGTGAGTTGAGTTACTTGCCCAAAGTACTAGACTTCTCTGGGTCTCTTCTCCTACTTGACTACAACATAAATTGCATGAAATCATTGTGAATTATGGTATTTCATATTTCAAATCCTTGTTTCAGAGCGATCTTTCTTCACGTTAGAGCTCTGAGTATTCACTTTGCGAAACTCCGGACTGTGAAAATATAATTAATGCACAATTGACAAGAAATTCTGAACAAATTATTGTCCCTGCACATGAGTGTTTCCACTCATGGTGAGTGGTACAAGATGGCGTAGGTTAGCGGTTACCACTCCCACGAACAGGATCATGTTTGTGTCTCAGATCTGTGTATGAGAGCGATAGCACCGTTGCCCATTATTGAGGCCTGTTTGTGTATGTCTTCTTCCTAGGTCCCTTGTAACGGTTTTAGTGACATAGAGAATCTTGAGGGACCAGAGATTTTTTTTGAGGATGAACTGGTGTGTATCCTAAATATGGAAGGAAGGTAAGTCACATTTGTGGCAGGGATTGTTTGTTTGTTTGTTCTAATAGTAATGCCCAGAATTAACTGCTGTAATTGGTATGTGGCCGAACCCTGAGGCATGTGCTTCCAAATCTTTCATGTCTTTGCTGTGATTATATTTCTGGAAAATTCCGTGTAAATAATGTAAGTACACTGAGACAATGGATATTTAAAGAAAGCTTACAAAAGTCCTTTCGGAAAGAATAGAGAATGTGTATTTCTGTCTACTGTGTGTCGTATACTGGGACCTATTAATGAATGCCATTTAGTAATATAAACTACCCTTCCTTTGTTATGACTCTGTCTACCATCACTGAATTTGTCTGTTATGGGTTGAAAAAAAAATTTTTTTAATTCTTTAGGCTTGTCTTCATGGATTTTTTTTTTTTTACAATTTCTAAATTTGGGTAAGAAATCATCTTAGTTTGGCCATGAACATTATAGGTATCTGGTTGAGCCCTTCTTTTCTCTCTCCTGATCAAGAAGAATCCATCATCTCTTGATTATTGCTTAAAATTTTTTATGCCTCATATTTTCTGCTGTGAAGGTTAAATTCCAGTTTACCTAAAAGATGACTTGGCTTCCAGTTTAACATCCCTGTGAAAAAGGTTTTCTGCTCTAAAAGTTTGGAAATGTCAGTGATGGAAGCTAGGAAAGCTAGCATCTTCCTTAAGAGAGCTCATTGCGGTGTGTCACGTAAGGTATTTTTCTTGTTTTTAAAGCGATTTAGGAGAGAGGAGTATCTATCAGTGGAAGAACTGGAGGGGAGAGGCAGGATGTGCCACTATTCTAGGCCTTGGATGAGTTCAGATGCAGAGGTCATTTTTCCGTTTCTATTTTGGTTTATCTATAAATGAATTAAAGTATGATCTAATAGTCAGCATCGTGCGGCCTTAAAAATAAAAGCTGACCTGTCTTTTTACGTAGGCATGCATATACTGTAAAACACATAAATGTCACCTATATACCAAGATTTTTGGCTGTTTTGGTTTTGATTTGATGTTGAGTGCAGACTTTTTTTTTCCTGCTTATGCTGTTCTTCCCTCCCTCCGTATTGGTTTCCCTGCCCCGCCCCTGTAATTACTGATGACATGAAGACTTAGCTTGGTCTCCTCTGTGCTGATATACATTGTTGATATACGTGGGGATGGATGGAAGCAGATCGTTATTTCACAAAATTGTGATCATAAAATAGGTACTTTTCTGTATCTTTTTTTTTTTTCTCATTCAGCATTACCTTGTGGAAATCTAATCAGCAGAGTTGATTCATTTTAATCAATGGCTATGTACTGTTTTACAGCATGTACCACAATTTATTTAACTACCCTGCCATTGATGAGTAACCACAGTCTTCTCCATCTTCTGTTCTGTGGAGGGCGGTGTTTTTCGTGGTGTCATGTCTAAGTCATAGGCTCCTAGGAATGAGTGTCCAAGATCAGGCTATAGAAGTTTATTGAAAAACAAAAGATAGTGAGTCCTTGACTGTGGAGACTTACTATCACAAAAATGTCAGTTCTTCTAAAATTAACACATAACCCTAGTGCCACTCCATTTAAGATCCAAAAAGAGTATGGGGACAGGAGTTTGTGTGTGTGTGTTAATTGGATAATATTGGCATAAAATATATCCAGAGCAATAAATTCACTAGAAGAGCCAGAAAAAAACAATTTTTAAATAATTGCAACATAAGACTTGGATCATTAGATGATAGGACGTACTATAAAGCTAGCTGTAATCAAAATAATATGTTTAAATGAAAGTTGAGAGCTACATCAGTGACAAAGAATTATTCAGAAACATGTCCCAGCAAAAAAGACCATCTAATATATTTAAAGTCAGAGGGGGAAAGATGGCATATTTAATGAATGGTATTGGAGGTAACTGAATATTCATCTGGAAGAAATTAGAACATCATATAACAAAATTAAGTTCCACAAGATTAAATAACCTAAATTTCCAAGTTATCACAATGAAAATCCTCAATTCAATTGACTTCGTGTCCAATCTAGGGAGACCTACTTAATCAACACTGATAATACAAAAGCAGTACAAGAATATAGGCAAAGGGTTTTGCAATAAAAAATAAAGTTCCCTGTGAGCAAAGGAACTATAAAGAAAGTCGATAGAATTCTTAACATTTCTAAGAGGAAATTGAAAAATGTACTAAGGAGGAGGACATTCATAGAGCAAATCCAAGTAGCTGAGAATCATGTAGATCTTCAATTTACTCTTCACAGAAATGTTAAATGGTAACGAAATACTGCTTTTTTCACTTATCCAGTTGGCAAAATGACTAAATAGGCACAGCCAGCTAAAAAGTATACTGTTAGAGACTTTTTAGAAGTAAATGTCATAGGTATGTCACCCCTTGGCCTGACATATTTTGAGCCTAAAACAGTTATTTTTAAAGGATGGGGATTACGCTCACATCTGTAAATATTTTGGGATACTGGTGTTCTTGAAGGACCCTGTTTGTTTTCATTCCCAGCAAATGCTTAATTGTGCAGATATGGAAAGTATAGGAAGGAAGAAGGATAGATTTCCAAAAATGCTAAAGCACCAATCTCTAGTTATTTGAAAAACAGTTTGCTTTTATGGTATTCTGGACGGCCTTTTAAAAGAGTACATCTGCAATAAAGGTTTGAAACAGCATAGTAAAAAAGGCATACACTGTACTTGAGAAAATGACCCAGGGTGACCATCACTGAAACACTTCAGTAAATCTACTGGATTTTAAAAGACAGAAAAGTCCTTTGGGCATCCAAGCAAAAAAGATGAAGTCATTTACAAGGGAAAAAAAATCAGAATATCATCAGACTTCTCAACAACTGCTCTGGGCCAGAGGATAAAAAGAATAACATATTTAAGATGCTCAAGGATCAAAAATGTCAGCCAAGGATTTTTATATCCAGCCAAACTGACTTCCAAGTATAAAGGCTGCAGACAAACTCACCAACTTGCAAGGACTCGGGGACTTTTGAGCCCTTCGTGAGAAATGTTCTAGAAAATGAGCGTCAGACAGTCAGAACAACCAGAGCGACATGGACACAAGGACTAATGGTGAGCGTCAAATCCGTATTTACTTGTAGGATTCAACCCAAGTGACACTTCACAGGGTCGAAGGTATTATATGTAATGGCCGTAAACCCTTTCAGTATAGATACAGCACAACTGCTTAAAAAGATGAGCAGAGAATAGGGGAGAATGTAAGCAAAGTAAATTTAGCTGCTTTCATTACTCAGCAAGGTGATAGATACATTGATCTCGTTATTCTGAGGCCAGGTATGTGTATGTTTCTAAGAGAGACGTGCAATAAAGCAGATGAGTAACTAGGTGACACTCTTAAGTCACCTCTGGTATCCCGGAGAAGTGGGACATTCCTGGAAGAGAGAAAGCTATAGATACACAATAGGGAGAATGGTTAAAAACTATTGTTCTGAATTTGATTTAGAAGTGTCAATATGAATTCCTGAGATATGTTTATTTTTTAAAATAATACTTCATTGTTTGTTAAGGAAGCTTTGATTGAGGACCATGTCCTAAGAATAATATAATTTTTTACATTCAGTGACTTTTTGATTAAACTCCTGAGATAGATTTAAAAATAGATAGGTGTGTGCGAGTACACACACATGAAGACATGAGATTTATTATTTCTATCCATTGATAAGGTTCAGAAACAATAACCAGCCTAGTAGAAATGATAATCCCTGGCACCCAGATGGTGGTCTTAATATACCATTTCCCATCAGAAGAAGCCAGGGTGTCATGGAAGGGGCTGAATCTCGGTCTGATACAGGAATTGTGAAAGGTGAGGCCGGAGAGTCTTGGAGGCGGGGAGCCAGATATCCGGAGAAGTTCCAATGCTCCATATTGTGAGTGGTCAGGGGTCAATGTGGAGAGGCTTCCGTTGGCCAGAGAGGTGATCTGAGCAGTTGTGTGGGTAACCACTGGAATGGAGTGAAACACACCAACTGTGTTCAGCTCTGTTAGTTCATAATAATACTTAGCAGCAACTAATCATTCTCCCCTGGAGGATAATAGAAATCCAAATTATTACCATTTTGAAAAACACTACAAGGAAAACCTGAGCATTTATCCTGCCTTTCCTATATGTTGTGCCGGGGGGGGGGGGACACCAAATAGTAGATGAGAGAAATGCTTGTAGAAATGCTCTGGCGCATAAATGAAGAAGGGCTGGTGGACTTAGAATATCACCGTTTTGCGACCTCTAATGCATGAACGGACCCAGGCACCGAGGAGCAGTGGCCGCCCGCGTCAGCAAAAGAGACCGCCAAGGCATGACTGCCTCCCGGTAGAAGGACTTCACTCCCGCCTGCGAAGTAGTCTTGCCAAATGAAGAGAATCTGAATCTGATCCAGCCTCCACATCCAATTTACAGGAAATTCAGAAGACAGAAGAGCATGGGAAACTATACGTCGTGGATGCATTCAGCAAATGCCACACTGGGGAACTGCAGGTCACACAGCCAGGTTTCTTCAACACGTAAAGCGCAAGGGAAAGGAAAGATGGAGGGGGACCCTGTGGATTAAGAGACTTGAAAGACCTCAAAACCGGCTAGAGTGTTTAGGGATGCGTGTTTGGTGAGGCAGTGATGAGCGCGGAAGTGCGGAGTTGTGGTCACTGTAGATGGGAGGGGAGGTCCTTGGGCAGCCTCCGGGGGATCCACACAGTTTCGTGGCCTGAGTGGTGGGTACAAGGGTGTTTGCCTTATACTAATGCATCAAGCCCAGTTCATTAAGCTGCGTGCTCGTTTCATGCAGTTTTCTACACTGACATACTTTACAACTCCAAGGTTAAAAGGCCAGCGGGACCTAGCTCTGCCGACATTCATTTACTAACCGAAGACTGGGGGTCCTTTACTTCTGAAGTCACGCAGATAAACCAATCACTGTCACCCCGTTTCCCATGATCCCCATGTACATTCGGCATGTGTGGTGAAGCGTTTCATCCTCTCGGCAAGTATTTATTGAGCATCCGCTGTGTGCCAGACCTCTCCCGGGCACTGAGGACACGGCGGTGAAAGCACAAAAAGTCACTAACCTAGTAAGATGATTTAGCACATTAGGAGAGGAGAAGGGGCTGTGGACAGATACTAACCAGGGAAGAGGGTGAAGCGGGAGAGGGGAGAAGGCCTTACTCAAAATGGCGTTTGAATGAAAACCTGAAAGGAGGTAAGGGTGCAGATTGCAGATCTCCAGGGAAAGAACGTTCCAGTCAAGGACCTGAGCGCACTGAGGCCCCAAGTGAGCACCACCAAGTGTGATGGAACAGCAGAGAAGCCGGTGCGGCTGGAGGCCAACGGAGATGGGGAATCGGGCGGACATGGGGGACCGGGCGGACATGGGGGACCGGGCAGAGATGGGGAATGGCCGGAACCAAGGCCAGAGAGGTAATGGGGCAGGAGTTTAAAGCAGCTCTTAAGTCGTCATCAGGACCGGAGCTTTTACTTTGAACGAGGTGGAAAAACCCTGGAGAATTTGGGTTGAGGTTTTTGTGCTGTGACTTCACGTGCTAACTGGAGCGCCCTGGCTGCCGTGGGGAGGGTAGAGTGTGGCGGGGCAGAGTTTGCCACCGGGAGCTCTGAGGACGTTGCTGGGCTCGTGAGAGGTGTTCACCTGGCTGGTAGACTTGGAAGGCAGAGCTGACAGCGCTGGTGGGTGGGTGGGGTGCTCTGTGGGAGTAGGCCCCCAGGGTGTCCCGGGGAGCTCCAAGCTTTGCAGACTGATGGCAGTGGGAGTCGCGCTTACCAGAGACAGGGTGACTCTGGGAGGGAAGGCATGTGTAAAGGCCTCCCCAGGTATCGGAGCGGGGACGTGGAGTAGCAGTTGGACGTGTAGGTCTGGAGTTGCCAGGAGAAATGCCTTCTAGAAGATAAGCTGAGGGCTGTCCGAAATAATATTCGAGAGAGGGAGATGGGAGGAGACCACCCTGGCAGTGATCGTCGAGAAAATCAGCCGCCCCGGCCTGAGCTCCCGAGACAGGTGCCCAGCGGCCAGTGGGGGATTCCAGCCACCTCACCCCTGGCTCCCGAGCCCCAGCCAGCTGCCCCAGCTATTCAGGTTTCTCTTAGATTTCCTTTTAGTCAGTCTGAAGCCCGGCAGGTCAGCGTTGCTTGGATTTCAGCAACAACTGATTTGTGTTACATTACAGATGCAAAGTCCTAAGTTGTGTTGTCTGCTTCTGTAATGACAGGTACTCTGTGGCCACGGACCAATTGTAGTTTTCTTGTGAAGTGGATTCTTTATGTGCTGTAATTAGTGTGAAGTTAAAAAAAAAAATAGGGAATTGGAGGTTCTTATTAAAAGTGTCTTGATTCTCATTGACTTGTGTGCTTGTTTTCCAGAAAAGCTCTGACCTGGAAATACTATGCCAAGAAAATTCTTTACTACCTACGACAGCAGAAAATTTTAAATAACCTAAAGGCATTTCTTCAGCAGCCTGACGATTATGAATCGTATCTTGAAGGTGAGATCTTAGAGATGATCTTCTGACAGGCAGCCAAGCTGTCGCTCACAGCAGCAGTGGACACTGTCCCTGAGGGCAGAGCAGTGGAACGTGGACCGGGCTGCGTGGGCTTCTGGAGGTGGGATCATATGGTCTGATCACTTAGGCAGGCAAAAGTGCTCGGCCTACAGCTAAGATTTTGCCAGAATATTTGACTGTCAGTTGAAGACCGTGCTTTCTGAAGATGCACTGTCAGTTCAAAGCATGAGGCTGATGTTTTAGCTATTGAGGCTAAATTCCCTGTTTTTCTAAGCTTTCAGGCATCATTTCCAAATCAGAAATAAATGTATCCAGTTTTGTCTCCCCGTGACCTCAAGCAGATCCCTTCGCCTCCCCGTTTGGCGTTTAACGAGGACGAAGTGTCCTTGTGTGTCAGGGAGGCTGCTTGTCCACAACAAGAAGTGAGGAGGAAGAAGTCCAGTGGACGGACACGATGAAGGAATAACTTTTTGTTCCTGCTAAGTTGGGCAAGAACAAAATGTGACTTAATTTTTTTTAACTAATTTAAATTCCTAGCATATCACACAAGCACTCCCATAAATCATGGTTATGAAGTACAGATAGGCCTGTCCGTTTGCTTTCACTCCCTGCTCCCCACAGTTTGCCCAGGTCACCGGTTTCTCCTCGCCAGCGCTTCCCTCCTGCTCACACCCCCGTTTGATCACTTGTCGCGCGGGCCATAACCAGCTCTCTCAGCCTGCAGCTTGCTGAGCAGCGCTTGTTTTCCTGAGCCTCATGGCTTCTGACCCCCTCATGCTAGTCTAGCCTGAAACCTGGCCTTTTCTGCACTCCGTGTGACCAGCTGATTCCCTTCTTCTTTCTTGTTTTTTTTTTTTTTTTTTTTTTTTAAATGAACCCTTTGCCTGGTTTTGGGGGCCTTCCGTAATCCAGACCTCCCCTGGTCCCAGACTTTTCCCCGTCACTCTCCAAAACACACCCTTTGCTCAGCCAGTACTGTCCTCCCTCCTGGCTTCATGTCTTCATTAGTGGGACCGCCCTCTTCAGTCCTGCTTGCCCACGAGAGCTCAGGTCACATTTTAACTCCCGTTGAGTTTCTGCTGACTGCCGTAACGTGTGCAGATCTTACTCCCCTCAGGAGAAGTACAGGCAGTAGCACTGACTAGTAGCCCGTGGCGCGGTGTCTGTTTTAGATGCGGGCATTAAGTGTCCCGTGTCCCTGGTCCTTAACATTATTGTGATCTCTGCATACTCCACGGTGCCCAGTGTGGATTCTTGCTGATTGCATAAAATTCTCATATCCAGAAGGAAGTGAAAAATCTGCTTCAGTCGATTAAAATCACAACAGCCTCACCACCCTGGAGTTCTCTGTGTGTACTGGAGTTGAGAGTCACCCACTCTTCTGTTCATTCCACAGTCAGGAATAACTTAACAGGGTCTGTTTTCTATGGCTTGTTTCTAAAGACGATTGCTTCTTCTTCATCTTCCAAATAACAAAGTAACATGATTTTCTAGAAGTCCTCCAAATCTGTACTGTAGGCACTGGGTAGCCATTACAGGTTTTTAAGTGGTTGAGCAGGAAGTTGACTCCAGGATCATGACAAGAATAATCTGATACTATTAGTGAAGTCTAGGAATCGTAGCATCAGGACGGCATGGACTCTGGAGAAGTTCTGCAGCCAGCAGGTGAGGAAACTCCATCCCAGGGAAGTCCAGGAGCCAGCCCCTGGCAAGATTGGGACTGGGGTCTGGGACTCGTGTTTGCTGCTTTCAGCTCCTCTCGGGTGTTGAGTAGGGGGTAAAGATCCCGAACTGAATTTAAATGACTTGAATTTAAAATGACACACAGGGGCGGCTGGTGGGTGGCTCAATTGGTTAAGTCCTGACCTTCAGCTCAGGTCATGATCTCACAGTTCGTGGGTTCGAGCCCCTTTTTGGGCTCTGTGCTGACAGCTAGCTCAGAGCCTGGAGCCTGCTTCCAACTCTTGTGTCCCTCTCTCTGCCCCTCCCCTTCTCATGCTGTCTCTTTCTCTCTCTCAGAAATAAATAAAACAATAAAAAATAAATAAAATGACATGTAAGTAATAACTGCAGCTTCCCAATTAAAAATGTCTTATAACCAACTGATCAAGTTAGCCCTTTGGCATCTGGTTAGAAAATAATCTAAGGTAGGGGCACCTGGGTGGCTCATTCATTTAGACATATGACTGTTGACTTTGGCTGGGGTCATGATCTCACAGTTTGGGTTCGAACCCTGTGTGGTGCCCTTCATCAGGCTCTCCCCTTGCTGGGGCAGAGCCTGCTTGGGATGCTCTTTTTCTAAAATAAATAAATAAATAAGAAAATAAATGAATAAATAAGTAAATAAATAAGAAAAGAAATGGAAAGAAAAGAGCCTAGGGTAGTAAAGAGCAGAGCAGTGATGTTCAAGAGACTGTCTCCTTGTGTGAGTCTTCAGCTACACATCCCCTGAGTGTCCCTGTTTGTGTAATTCAGAAGTACAGTTGTCTCCAAAGTTCTTTTACCGTTTCACCCTTGAGGGGTACAGTTTGCAGAAATACGTCATTGTGAGGGCTTTCGGCTTTTATATTTTGTTTAAGTAAAGGAACGTGGCTTACACCATTAAGCTTTTCAGAGCTCTTGGGAAGGTCTCCCTTACAGCTTTTATTCGTCTTTCCAATAGACTTTGGCAATCTGCTGCATATCACGTGATCTCTTGAGTCCATAAGCTTTGGGTGAGAGTTTGGTTTATTTTTGTTTTTTTAAAATAACGTGTGTAAACTCCTTTGTTGTGAGACTGTTGCTCCTTTGCCGTGGATTAGCAGCGGGGTCCGGCACCCACGGAGGAAGCTTATCTGGTAGGACGGTGGAAAGAAGAACAGCCCTCGGTGTCTGCGCTGCGTGACCAACTACTAGGAAGAGGGTGAAAACGGAACCTATTCAGTAATTTCCCGTTTATTTTCAGGTGCCGTGTATATTGACCAGTACTGCAATCCTCTCTCTGACATCAGCCTCAAAGACACCCAGGCCCAGATCGACAGCATCGTAGAGCTCGTCTGCAAAACCCTGAGGGGCATCAATAGTCGCCACCCCAGCTTGTCCTTCAAGGCAGGTGTGGAATTGCTTTGGATCCAGCTGTATTTGCAAAAGAAACCCTAGCAGAGCAGTGGGTTGATGCGAGAAATTCTGTGGTGTGTTTCCATTATGTCACCGAAAAAGCAGTTAATGCCCCAGCCACATGTTCACCTGCAAAAGCGTAAAAGACTAAATTCATGTGCTTTTCTCCGCCCTGGCGTGGCAGCGCCTGCTGGTAGTCGTGAAGACGTGGCCAGCGTCTGCGCGTTACAGCTTGTTTGGGATGCTGGTCACAGCCTCGCGCGTGCTGCTGTCCTCAGAGTAGTTCTCTGTGTTTCAGGTGAATCCTCCATGATAATGGAGATAGAACTCCAGAGCCAGGTGCTGGACGCCATGAACTACGTCCTTTATGACCAACTGAAGTTTAAGGGGAACCGAATGGATTATTATAATGCCCTAAACTTATACATGCACCAGGTAAATGTGGGTGTATTGAAACATAATCATCTGTATTTTTTAAAGCTCATTTTTGACAAATTGTATAGTTTTGGAGCACAGATAACATTGTCTTTTCATCTCTCAGTGCCCAGTGAAACTCACTTTTGCCTCTACTCTCAGGATATTGCTGTGGATTTTTATTTCTTTTTAGTGTTCTCTGTGTGAAAACCCTTGAGATAATTTCCTGTCCAGAAATACATATTTCTCTGACGTTGTTTGTTTAATTTGTATCTTATGAACACTAAGCTATGAAACTAATTGGGTCTTTTTTCTGCACTGGCCTCTAAACGGGTTGGAGGAAATTTGGCCAACCATTTTGGCCAAATCTATATTTAGTTTTTATGTGCTTTCTTCTTGGCACTGTGTTTAGATCTATTCTGTTGCTCTGTATGCTACCTTAATTTTTTTCTGTCATATTTTATACACTCTGTGAAATGGCCTTAAATTCTTTTGGGATGAACAGCCTATCCGCTGACAGCGGAGCCTGCTTGCCATTTTCTCTCTCTCCCTCTACCCCTCCCCTGCTCACTTGCGTGCACCTGTGCTCTCTCTCTCTCTCTCTCTCTGTTTCTCTCAAAGTAAATAAGTGAAACTTATGAAACAACAACAACAGAAGAACATCCTAGATCACAGGTCTGTGGACTTTTCCTGTAAAGGGCCAAACAGGCATTTGGGCCGGGCAGGCTCTGAGTCCCACGGGCTTAGTTCTGCCATTGGACTTGAAAGGATGCACAGGCATCACAAAAACAAACAGGTGTGGCTGTGTTCCAATGAAACCGTATATATGGACAGAGAAACTTGAATTTTATGTAATTTTTAATGTGTCACAAAACAGGATTCTTTTGACTTTTCTTTAAGCACTAAGAACTTTTAAAGCTCTTATGCAGTCCGTGCAGAAACAAACGGTGGACTTGGCCCACGGACTGCAGTTTGCAGACGCTTGATCTAAAGAAAGCAAAGATTCCTCCACTTAAGCCACAAAACCTAGTGTCATTCCATATGCACAGTGAGTGCCTAGTAAGGACTTGCTTTGAAGGTATGAAAAGGTATGTTTCGTTTCTGTGAAGCTAAAGGATTTTTTTTCTCCTTTAGGTTTTGATTCGCAGAACAGGAATTCCGATCAGCATGTCTCTGCTCTACTTGACAATTGCCCGGCAGTTGGGGGTCCCCCTGGAACCTGTCAACTTCCCCAGTCACTTCTTGTTAAGGTGGTGCCAAGGTGCAGAAGGGTGAGCCACCTACGCCGTGTTGTGATTGGCCCTTGGGACTCACTCCCACTGTGTATGAGGAAGTGGAGTAACTGAACGGAGGTTAACCAGAGCACTGGTGGTGGGCAGCTGGCTAGTTCCTTGGCCATCAGTGTCCGTACTCTGGTTCTGGGAGGAGGGCACTGGATCTTTCTGTGTTACTGCTTAAAACTGCATGGGAGTTTACAGTCATCTGTAAGTAACTATAAAGACTAGGACCAGGGGCGCCTGGGTGGCTCAGTTGATTAAGTGTCCAGCTTCAGCCCAGGTCATGATCTTACTGTTCATAGGTTCCAGCCCCACGTTGGGCTCTGTGCTAACAGCTCGGAGCCTGGAGCCTGCTTCCGATTCTGTGTCTCCCTCTCCCTGCCTCACCTCTCTGTCTTTTTCTATCTCTCAAAAATAAATAAACATTAAAAAAAAGAGTAGGACTAGAGGGGCTTCTGGGTGTCTAAGGGTCTGACCCCTGATTTCTGCTCGGGTCATGGTCTCACCGTTCCTGAGATCAAGCCCCATGTCTGGCTCTGCACGGACAGCTTGGAGCCTGCTTGGGATTCTCTGTCTCCCTCTCTCTCTGTCCCTCCCCTACTGCACATGTGTACTCTCTCTTACTCTAAAGTAAATGAACTTAAAAATGTTTTTTAAGTTGATGTATTTTGGAGCAAGAGAGCAAGAGTGAGGGAGGGGCAGAGAGAGATGGAGACCTAATCTGAAGCAGGTTCCAGACTCTGAGCTGTCAGCACAGAACCCGATGTGGGTCTTGATCTCATGAGCTGCCAGATCATGACCTGAGCTGAAGTCGGACACTTAACCGACTGAGCCACCCCGGTGCCCCAAAATAAATGAACTTAAAAAAAAAAATCATAGGACTGGGAGTTCAAGGTTTTAGGTGGATCGTAAAGTCCTTTTGTTGGAAAGCAGATCAGATCAAAGAGTTTTTTTTTTTTTTGGTCTAAAGAGGAGCCTTGCTTTTGATTTTTAAGTTTTTATTTAAATTCCAGTTAGTTGGTGTCCAGTGTAATATTAGTTTCAAGTGTACAATTTGGTGATTCAACGCTTCTGTACAACACTTGGTGCCCTCACAACACATGCCCTCCTTCATCCCCATCACCTGTTTCCCCCACCCCCCCACGCCCCTCCCCTCTGGTGACCATCAGTTTATTCTGTGTAGTTAAGAGTCTGTTTCTTGGTTTGCCTTTCTGGTTTTTTTTCCTTTTCCCTTTGTTTTATTTCTTAAATTCCACATATGAGTAGAATCATGTGGTATTTGTCTTTCTCTGATGTATTTCGCTTCTCATAATACCCTCAAGCTCCATCCACATCCTTGCAAATGGTAAGATTTTATTCTTTTTTATAGCTGAGTAATATTCCATTGTAAACATACCACATCTTTTTTATTCATTCTTCAGTTGATGGACACCTGGGCTGCTTCCATAAGTTGGCTGTTGTAGATAATGCTGCTATAAACATTGGGGGCATGTATCCCTTTGAGTTAGTATTTTTGTATTCTTTGGATAAATACCTAGTAATGTGATTGCTAAATTAACTTTTTGACGAACCTTCATATTGTTTTCTGAAGTGGCCGCACCAGTTTGCGTTCCCTTCCACCAACAGTGTGCGAGGGTTCATTCTCCTTTCTCCGCATCCTTACCCACACCTGTTGTTTTTTGTGTTGTTGACTTTCACCATTGTGACAGTGTAAGCTGATATGTCATTGTAGTTTTGATTTGCATTTCCCTGATGATGAGTGGTGATGAGCATCTGTTCGTGTGTCTGTTGGCCGTTTGTATGTCTTCTTTGAAAAAATGTCTATTCGTGTCTTCTGCCCATTTTTATTGGGATTATTTATTTTTGTAGTATTGAGTTTTATGAGTGTTTAAAATCTATTTTGGATACTAACCCTCTATTGGAGCTGTCATTTGTACCTGTCTTTTCCCATTCTGTAGGTTGTCTTTTGGTTTTGGTGATTGTTTCCTTCACGGTGCAGAAACTTTTTATTTTGATGAAGTCCCATTAGTTTATTTTTTGCTTTTGTTTCTCTTGGCTCTAGAGATGTGTTTAGAAAGAAGATGCTACCTGTGCTCCCCTCTGTGATTTTAATGGTTGCCTGTCTCACATTTAGGTCTTTCATCCATTTTGAATTTATTTCTGTGAATGGTGTAAGAAAGTAGTCCAGTTTCATTCTTCTGCTTGTCTAATTTTCCCAACACGATTTGTTGAAGAGACTGCCTTTATTCCATTGGATAGTCTTTCCTGCCTCATCGAAGATTAATTGACCATATAGTTATGGGTTCATTTCTGGGTTTTCTGTTCTGTTCTACTGATCTAAATGTCTATTTTTGTGTCAGTACTAGACCGTTTAGATCCCTACAGCTTTGCAAGATAGCTTGAAGTCCAGAATTGTGATGCCTCCAGCTTTACTTTTCTTTTTCAAGGTTGCTTTGGCTATTCGGCGTCTTTTGTGGTTCCGTACAAACGTTAGGATTGTTTATTCTAGCTCTCTGAAAAATGCTGCTGGTATTTTGAGAGGTATTGCATTAAATGTGTAGATAGCTTTGGGTAGTTTACACATTTTAACATTATTTATTCTTCTGGTCCGTGAGTGCGGAATGTTTTTCTGTCTCTTTGTGTCTTTACTTTCTTTCATCAATGTTTCTGGTTAGGTTTGTTCCTAGGTGTCTTACGATTTTTGGTGCAACTATAACTAGGATTGATGCCTTAATTTCTCTTTTTCTGCTTCATTATTGGCGTGTAGAAATGCAACAGATTGCTATATGTGGATTTTGTATCTTACGACCCTACTGACTTTGTGTATTGGTTCTGACAATTTTTTGGTGGAGTTTTTTTGGGTTTCTACATAGAATATCATGTCCTCTGCAAATAGTGAAAGTTTGACTTCCTCCTTGCCAGTTTGGATGCCTTTTCTTTCTTTCGGTTGTCTGATTGCTGAGGCTAGGACTTCCGGTACTGTGTTAAATAGCAGTGGTGAGAGTACACATCTCTGTCTTTACCTGACTATAAAGGAAAAGCTGTCAGTTTTTCCCCATTGAGGATGATATTCGCTGTGTGTTTTTCATGTGTGGCCTTTACAACGTTGAGGTATTTCCCTCTAAACCTACTTTGTTGAAGGTTTTTATCATGAACTGATGTTGTACTATGTCAGAAACTTTTTCTGCATCTATTGAAATGATCGTATGGTTCCCATCCTTTCTTTTGTGAATGTGGTGTATCACGTTGACCGATTTGTGAATATTGAACTACCCTGGCACCCGGGAATAAATCCCACTTGATTGTGGTGAATAATTCCTTTAACGAACTGTTGGATTTGGTTTGCTAGTATTTCACTGAGAATTTTTGCATCTGTGTTCTTCAGGGATATTGGCCTGTAGTTCTCTTTTTGAGTGGTGTCTGATCTGGTTTTGGTATCCAGGTAATGCTGGCGTTATAGATTGAATTGGGGAGTTTTCCTTCCTTTTCTATTTTTTGGAATAGTTTGAGAAGATTAGATATTAACTCTTCTTTAAATGTTTGGTAGAATTCCCCTGTGAAATCACCTGGCCCTGGACTTTTGTTTGCTGGGAGGTTTTTTGCTATTGATTCAATGTCTTTGCTGGTTATGGGTCTGCTGGCTATGTTTTCTGTTTCTTCCTGTTTTAGTTTTGGTAGTTTATATGCTTCTCAGAATTTATCTATTACTTCCTGGCTGTCCAGTTTGTTGGCATATAGTTTTTCATAACAGTCTTTTAATTGTTTGTAAATCTGTTTCTCCTCTCTTATTTGTGATTTTATTTATGTGGGTCCTTACCCTTTTTTCCTAAGTCTGGCTAGAGGCTTATCAATTTTATTAATTTTTTTCAAAGAAGCACCTCTTGGTTTCCTGGATCTGTTCTGTTGTCTTTTTAGTTTCCGTATTATTTATTTCTGCTCTAATCTTTGTTATTTCCCTTCTGCTGGCTTTAGTTCTGTGGGTTTTTCTTTTTCTAGCTCCTTTATGTGTTAGGTTAGCTTGTTGATTTGAGATGTTTCTTACTTCTTGAGGTAGGTGTGTATTGCTATATACTTCTCTCTGAGGACCACTTTTGCTGCATCTCAGAGGTTTTGGACCTTTGTGTTTTCATTTTCATTGATTTCTATGTATTTTTTTGTTTATTCTTTTTTTTCCTGGTTGACCCATTCATGTTTAGTAGCATGTTGTTTAACCTTCTTGTATTTGTTGTCTTTCCCAATTATTTCTTGTGGTTGACTTCAAGTTTCAAGCATTATGGTCAGAAAAGATGCATGGTACTATCTCAGTCATTTTGTATTTGTTGAGGCTTGATTTGTGACCTAACATGTGATGTGTTCTGGAGAATGTCACTCATGCACTTGAAAAGAATGTGTTATCTTGCCCTTTTAGGAGGGAATGTTCTGAATATATCTGTTAAGTCCATCTAGATCAAAGAGTTCTTAAAAGAACGTCTTACTCTGCAGTCTTCCATAAAACCTTCCCCCTTCCTCCCTTCCCCTGGGGGGGGGTGGGCGGGCGGGAGAGAGCAGGGTAGCTGTGTTCTTCACTCATGTGCAAAGCAAATGCTCAGTTTCTTATTATCAGTGATGTTCCTTTTAGATACGATCTGTGACTGATGTGTATTTTATAGACCAGGTCACTAAGTTCTGTTTTGTTCTTTAAATTTGGTGTCCTGTCGGACAGAAAACTTTTCAGCTGTAGTCTCGCTTTTGTGAAAGAAATCGTTCACAAATAGTCAGAACTATCTTCTCATTAAATGTGACATTTAGGGGCGTGTGGGTGGCTCAGTCGGTTAAGCTTCCTACTTCGACTCAGGTCGTGATCTCACAGTCCGTGGGTTTGAGCCCCGCGTCGGGCTCTGTGCTGACAGCTCAGAGCCTGGAGCCTGCTTCGGATTCTGTGTCTCCCTCTCTCTCTGTTCCTCCCCTTCTCGTGCTTTGTCTCTCTCTCTCTCCCTCTCTCTCTCTCTCAAAAATAAAGATAAAAATAAATGTGCCATTTAGAGGAAAAAGAAACAGTTATTTAATTGTATCCTGTTCTTTGAATGACCTTGTAATATCCTCTGGTGAGTGATGAGCAGAGCTTTGAAGTCTCGGCTTCCTCTGAGCCTTGGTTTCCTCCTCTGTGAAAATGGAGCACAGGTTTTTCAAGTGGTTGGAGGATCGAGATGGCCCAGTGCGTTACACACCTAGCAGCATTTGTGAAGCACGCCTAGAAGAGAGGTGTCACTTGTCTCTGTGTCTCTACCCGTTAGTTTAAAAAATAAAACCTGTATAGCTGGAGCCTAGGTATTCTTCCTCATCCCCTCCTTCTTCCTGTCCTCTGCAGAGATAACCGCCAGTTACCTGCAGGGTTCTGTTATTTCCATGCCGATGTTTATAGTTCATTACGTGTGTGTATTTCCTTAAAGGGTAGGCACGGGCGACCTTCTTTTCCAGATACCCTTTTCTAAATGTCTATGGCATGGCTGTTTGGGTAGCAGGTACCCATTTTCCATTATTGTAAACAGGAAGTATGCTTTCTCAGTCCATTCTCTCGCCCTAAATAAGCCACACCAATTTCCCCAAATATCTCAAAAATAATTCTTAAATGCCCATGTAATAATCCACCAAGGATCTCTGCATGACATAAAGCATTTAAAACTGCAATTACCATATTATTTGCCCTAGAAACTTACTGCTGGGCACAGGTGTGCATGGTAACAGTCCCATTTCTCCTCCTGGGGCTACAGTGAGTGTACACGAATAGTGCACATGAGCAGCGAAATAATTTGTCAGTGCCCCAGGCACCGGGCAGAAAGGAGCCCTGAGCCCCTGGCTGGGTCCTCAGAGCGAAGGAGTCAGGAGGCTGGTGAGAAGAGTGGGGGCGCACAGCCTGTGAAGCAGCATTCGGCCACAGGCCCTCTCCTCGCTTGGACCCATGTTCCTCATGCCCTCGGCCCCTGATCTGTCCCTGCACCAAGACCGCGTTGCGTTGTTTTACTTACTGTAGCTTTATCTTTCACTAGTATCTGCTAGGTCAGACCCCCCCAGCGAGTTCTTCAAAATTTCCTTGGCTATTTTTAGGCTCTTGCTCTTCTGTAGATTTAGAATCTGTTCACCAGCCTCCTTGAGGAGCCCAGAGGGTGCTAATTGGCACCAGAGCTCCCTCTGGATTGGATTGATGAGCTACTATGGGCAGTGTTGTCGGTGTTTCACTACTGAGTCTGCGAACGTACACCTCCCTGCACATGTGAGCTGTCCTGTATACCCCCACAAAGATTTCTTTGTTTTCTTCATGAAAGTCTTTCTTAGTAGACTCCTTTGTTAAGTACCTTAAATTTCTAGTGCTAATGTAAATGGTAATTTTTAAAATTACATTTTTTAAGTATTGATGGCTTCTAGGGATATGATTGATATTTAGGTATAAATCTGATAGTCATCTCCTTCGCTGAATAAATTACTAGAGCTAATTGTCAACTCCTTTGGGTTTCCAGTATAGATGGTCATATTGCCTACGAATCATGACAGTTTTGTTTCTTTTCTCTCTAGCCCTTGCATGTCTGTTTCTTTCTTTCTTTTTTTAATTTTTTTTATAGTTTATTTTTGAGACAGAGCATGAGTGGGGGAGGGGCAGAGAGAGAAGAAGACACAGAATCTGAACCCCGCATGGTTCATGTGGGGCCCGAACCCATGAACCATGAGATCTGACCTGAGCCGAAGTCGGACGCTTAACCAACTGAGCCACCCAGGTGCCCCTGCACATCTGTTTCTTATACTTAACTCTGGTGGCGGGGCCCTCTTACACGAAGTTGTGTAGAAATAGTGACAGCAGCTACCCTGGTCTTGGGTATGACTTTAGGTAGAAGCTTTTAAAACGTCATCATCAAGCATGTTTGGAGTATTTCCGTTCATTGAGATTATCAAAGCTCCCTTCTAAATTCCTAGTTTGCTTAAGTTTTAAAAAATTAATTTATTGTGTTTTAGAGGGTTACAGAGGGTGGGAGTGAGCAAGGGGCAGAAAGAGAGGGAGAGAGAATCCCACAAGGAGCAGGGGGCATAGAGAGATAATCCCACTCAGGCTCCCCCCGCCGCCCTCTCAGCACAGAGCCTGAAGTGGAGCTTGAGCTCATGTACCAGGAGATAGAATCTGAGCCAAAGTTGGAGTCTTAGCCAACTGAGCCACCCAGGTACCCCTGCTTAAGTTTTATTAATAAGTAGGCATTCAATTTTTTTTCCCCAAAATCTGTTTTCTGTGTCTACTGATAAAATAATACATTTTTCTCCATATGTGCTGAAATATTTTAACATTCACTTAATCCTTTCATTCTTGGGGTACATCTGTCTTAATCATACGGATTTTTAAAAATACATTGCTGTATTTGATTTGCTCCTATTTTATTTAGGATTTCTGTCTATAAATTTGTGTGAATTTGTGTGGTTCTCCTAAACTCACAAAAAGAGTAGAAGAGACTCTCTTGTTTTTTGGAACATTCTGTCTTGCTCCAGGAAATATATTAGTATGACTCTAGGAAGAAATCTGGGGTTTTTTAAGCAGCCCAAGAGAAAGTCTCCTGCATGCTTTGCAGTGGACATAAGATCAAAGTGGAACAGTTAGCACTCAGGAAGAAAAAACGCAACTGTCCCTGAAACAAAGACCCACCTCAATCCCCCAGGAGTCCTCTGAGAATGTTCTCGGTAACGGTGGTGAGGACTTGCTTCGTGTGACCTCTTCCCACGGCTCCGCTCTGGCCACCCCCCCCTCCCCCGCAATAGTACGGTTCCTGGGAGGGGTGGCATGGGGGAGTGCAGGGGCTCAGCTGTCTGCTTAGGAGCCGGGTTCCCAGGCTGAGCCCTGGGTGATCCCCGGGGCATGTCTGCAGAGCTGGGGGCAGGACCCTTGGCCAGGCCAGGGCTCTGTAACTCTCCCCACAGCCCCAGGGGCCCAGGGCCCACAGACGGTAAGCCTGCTAATCTGCAGAATCCTAAAGTGCCTCGGGTCTTCCCAGCCAGCTTCGGATAGAGCGTCTTGTAGACTAGGTCAATAAATTCTCTTGTGTTCTCTTAAACTTGGTTTGATCTGTCTTAATCTCCCCGCAGAACTATGTGTGACAGCATACATCAGTGCTGTTTCCTAAACATCTGTGTCCTTTAGTCATAACACAGCAGGGAATGTCTAAAGGGTCCGATTTTAAACTTTAGGCGAGGCCTTAATATTTTAAGTAGAAATGCTGGTGTGTTGATATTCAGCCTCTAATTTGAGCTTCTTGCGGGGCGGGGGGAGGGGATGTTAGACACTGCCTCGTTCAGCTCTGGTTTGGATTTGGCTGACTGCCTGCGCTGTCTGGATAGGGCGACCCTGGACATCTTCGACTACATCTACATAGACGCTTTTGGGAAAGGGAAGCAGCTGACGGTGAAGGAGTGTGAATACCTTATCGGCCAGCACGTGACGGCGGCGCTGTACGGCGTGGTCAATGTGAAGAAGGTGTTACAGCGAATGGTGGGGAACCTCTTAAGCCTGGGAAAGCGGTAAGGTCTTCGTGGTTTTCCGGCCCTCCCGCAAGGTGCGTGTCTTGGAGGCCCGGCTTGCTTGCCCTGCAGAGAGGGCTGTGCTGGGGCCTCCCTGCCATGCGGCCAAGCTCTAGATGCCATGGGCACAGCTGGGCCGTCTGCGGCTGTCTGCCCGCCGTGGAGAGCAACTCAGCCCTGTGACGGAATGCTGTCCTGGCTGAGGCTGTGCCGGGTGACTGACACTCCTGCAGCTGACTCGTGCAGGTTTTCTGTGACACTGAATGCATTCTTTAGCCACCAGAATATTTGAGACCCGTAAAGCTTATTTTTCAGGGCAGGATGTTTTCCGGTCCCAGTGGTTTGTCGTCTTTTGGTTTATACGTTTCTATCACTTAGATAAGAAGACAGACAAAAGTATGAACCCGTTTCACTTCTGAGCCCGAAGAAACTTGTCTTACAGGAATAATAGAAGATTGTGTGCTGTAGTCATAGTTCTCTAATGGTGGACTCGTTTGTTTTTTTAAAGTAGAATGTGTTTTTTAGGTTCGTTACAAAACGGAGCAGAAAGTACAGAGAATTCTCATCCTCCCCCGCCCCCCCCCCAACATCCCCCATCAGAGTGGGACACTAGTTACAGCCGCTGGAGCCCACGGATGGGTCACCCTCAGAGTCCATAGTTAACACTCGCCTCCACTCTCGGTGCCGCATGTTCTGTGGGTTTGCGGGAACGCGCAGTGACGTACCCACCTTTGTGCTTTTGTGCAGAGAGTCGTACCGCCCTACGAGGCCTCTGTGCTCCACCCAGTCAGGACTTACTTTTAATTACGTGCAGTGTTACCAAAAGTGCTTATGGCTTTCATGCTCATCACCAAAGTGGGGTATAAAGGTTAACATTTCTTCTGGGGCTTTTTTTTATTATTATTATTATTATTATTATTATTAAGATCATTGTGAGTATTTGCCGAACAGAGAGGAAGTATCAGAATCCAAAAAGGTGTGTGGCTTTGTGTCCCTTACTTATAAAACCTGGGTCTTGCAAACGAGGGTCTGAGCTGCGAGGCAAGCAGAAAGTGAGGCCGTGATTGGTTCCCCCAACTAGGGAAGGCATCGACCAGTCCTACCAACTCCTGCGAGACTCGCTGGATCTCTACCTGGCGATGTACCCGGACCAGGTGCAGCTGCTCCTCCTGCAAGCCAGGCTCTACTTCCACCTGGGCATCTGGCCAGAGAAGGTAATTATTTTACTTTGATGCTTTGCACTTGCCTTAGAGAGGGAAAACTAGCTTGAAAGGCGGCTCTTTGAAATTTATCCTCATATCAGTCAGCGTGGGGCATAAGCGTGAACTTACTCTCCCGATCTTGACCCGTCAGATAAATGTTTTTTGTCCCCTTTAATCTAAAACCCTCAGTGGCATTGCCGGAGCTGCCCGGTGTCTTTGTGGCCCGTGCCTTAAATAACACCTAGAGCCGGGGCGCCTGGGTGGCTTAGTCGGTTAAGCGTCCGACTTTCGCTTGGGTCATGATCTCGCGGTTCGTGGGTTCGATCCCCGCGTCGGGCTCTGTGCTGACTGCCAGCTCAGAGCCTGGAGCCTGTTTCAGCCTGTGACTCCCTCTCTCTCTGACCCTCCCCTGCTCACGCTGTCTCTCTCTCTCCTAGAAATAAATAAAATATTAAAAAAAAAAAAAAAAATAACACCTAGAGCCACGAGCCTCAGCCCCCACTCACCTGCGGGCGCTCAGACGTGTTTCCCCCAGGTCACCCTGAGTCAGCAAGGGGAAGCAGAACTTTAACTGTTCCCTCCAGCAGAGCTGGTAGCTCTCACACTGACCACACGTGAGCACCCCTGTTCAACAAGGAAAAGTAGATCTCGGGTGCGTTCCGGTCCAGCTGCTGGACTTCACGGACCGTTTCCATCTTTGAAAACTGTTGAACTTCAACACAGCCCCCCCGGGCTCCGCCGTTCTCAGCGGCAAGCACCGTCAGAGGACGTGGCGCCTGCGACTGGACCCGACCCTCGGCGCGCTGGGGGTGCAGCGGGTGTGTGAGTCCGATGGCGTCCCAGCGTGGGGGCGCTGCGCGTTCCCGTCGCGCCCTGGCTTTTCCACGGAGATGTCTTAATAGTCCGTTTTGTTTGTTTCGGGCAGCCTGGTGAGAGAACTTTATTCTGGGTTCTCCCAGGGACATCGCGGTAAACTCCGCCCGTTACTAGAGAAGGGCAAATAGTGTGACCCCGCGTTGCCTAGAGCCAAATCGTCTCATTTGTTCCCACTTCAAAGCTCTGGAATTGTGGTGAGAAAGGACTCGTCAGTAGGGACATCCCTAGGCTCCTCTCTCAGAGAACATCTGTAGCCAAAGTGGCAGATGGCCTCCCGCACAGCGTGTGGTCGGCCAGAACCAGACCCTCCACCGAAGGTACCGCCTGCTTCCCAGAACCTCTTGTCCACAGCTCAGTCGTTCATTCTCCTCTTTCGCTTTATTTTTGTGATGCTGGGATATACATAACCCTTTTTTGCTACTCTTCTCTTCAGTTAAGGAATGAGATCATTTGTAGAATGCTGAGACCCTTTTTAGAAGCAAATTCTGTGTTCCATCACACAGCAGCCTCGGAGGCGGTAAGGTTCACATCTGCCCTGGGGGCGAGTCTGCAGGCGCGCTGACATCCTTTCCTTTGATGATGGACTCCGTTTCGTGCCCACGCTGTGCGCTGGGCACGTACCTTAGTGTCCTGCTTGGGTGACCGAGAGTGCCGTCCTGCCAAGCACATGTCACCAGAGCAAGTGCCCAGTGCTTATTCGCATTTCCTCACGACGACCATTGATTTGCTTCTGGGGTTGATCCCCTCATTCGGGATCAGGAATGCAAAGTGGCCCCCCTCCGGGAGTGTGTGCTTGAGCTAGGCTAACGCCCCCGGAGAGAGCTGGAAGACTGGGGAAGATCAGGAAGATTCCAGGGGCCACTGAAGCCATGGGGAAAGGCTCCTCTCCAGAGAGAGTGTTCAAGTGGACCTTGAAGGGTGGGAAAGCATTTCAGAGGGCAGAGAAGCAGGCTGTCCGGTGGGCGGGAGCGGCCTGTGCGCGGCAGAGAGGTGGGCAGGCCGGGCGCTGCGGGCCCGCCCTGCAGGGTATGTGTGCACGTAAACGTGGGCAGCTGCGTGTATAAAATGGTTTTCGGATCAGTTTCTGGAGGACTTGGAATAGTTGGCCTTATTAGGTAAAAGGGAAACATTCCCACACTGGGAAGACTGGAAAGTCAGCTTGTTTTTAGTTGAAGTAAATCAGGAAGAGTGAAGAAACATAAGTCCACTCGGTCACTGTCCTAGCCCAGAGTCCTTATGGCTGTGACGGAAAGAGATAGTGGAGGGTGGTCACGTTTTGAAGTCACCAGCACCAAACCCTGTGGGGTGGGTGCTGGGTTTTTGTCATTCTAGAAGTAGTGAAACTGAGGCAGCGGGAAGTCGGGTAACCTGCCGAGGTCACCCTTGCAGGCGGCGATGGCATCAGGAGTTGCGCACGGGCGGTTTGGTGCCCCTGTGGGCCAGCAGGCTGTGGGGGGTGGGGACTGTGAGGCCGGCACTCGGGCCTGTTCTTCCTGCCACCAGAACCCCCTCCTCAGTTTGACTCGTGGCCCGCCCTTCCCCCTTCCTCCTCCACGCCTCCCTGGAAAGGATCTCCTTCCGGTTTTCCAAGGCAGCCCCGTTTTCCTTTATGTCTCCTGCGCCTACAACTCCCTGCTTCTGCCATCGGCATTCTGCTGACTCCAGCCTTTCTCATCTTTGGGAAAGAACTGAAAAGTGCTCCCAAGACATCCCTGCCGCACTCCCCTGCGGCCACCTCCTTCTCTCCCCTCCCCTGCAGGGCTCCAGCCCCAGGTGGCCGCGTGCCTTGCCTCCCGCCCGCGCCCCGGAGCTTGGGGATCATTCCCCCACACACGCTGCTCTTGCCAAGGGAGCTCATGACCCATTTACCAAAACCTTTCTTTTTGTTGCCAAATCCATAGATACTTGTCTTTCCTTATCTGTGTTGATCACTGAGGGGCATTTGCTGCTCAAAACACTCTGTTCCTTTGACTCTGGTCTGTGGTTCTCAGGCTGTTGCTAGTTCCTTGTCCTGTGTTTTTTCCCTGCAGGGTAGTTTCTAGACTTCTGTTTATGTCTTTCCCCAAGGTGACGTCTCCTGGTCTCCTTGCCTCAGTTACAATCCACAGGCTGACAGCCCCCGGCTGACGTCCTGCCTGGACCCGAGGCTCCAGACCCACACGCCCAGATGGCCGCCGCACGTCTGCACATGGCCCGTCCCCTAGGCCTTCCGCCTGCGCTGCCCCCTGCACTCTTACACTCTGAACCCGTTCCGTGCACGGCCGCCGGAGCAGTCTTCATAAAATGTCGGCCCTGCCCCCGCAGTGCTCAGAGCCCTCCTAGTGGCTACCCCCGGGTCTTGAAGGTCAGGCTCCTTCCCTCCGGTGTGGCCTACGAGATTCTTGGCGGTCTGGCCCTCCAGCCTGAGCGGCCTCAGCTCTCACAGTTGCCCCTTTCGTACTCTGTGCTGCCCGCACATCCTCCATCTGACTGTTCTCTGGCCTTGGCGCTTGGTGCGCACCAGGGCGCTGCCTGAAACCCCTCTCCTGGGGCCTCAGCCCCTTTGCTGCTGAACCCCCAACCCGAGCCCGGCTGTGGCAGTCTGGGTGCCTGCCCTGCCGCACAGCTTTCTCCGCCAACACTGGCTGCTCGTGTACTGTGCCTTCACCAGGGCCTGCCCGGGTCCTGGAGGGCAGGGACCGCCTCTGGGTGGTTCTTCACTGTAGCGGCTCCCTGGCTCTCTGCACTAGGCCCAGGACGCAGGACATGTCGAGAAAATGGTTTGAACAAGTGACAAGGAACTTCCTTAGATGGTGAGGGAGAGGATATCCAGATTTTCCTACAAGGGAGACTGTTTGGGCACATTAAAAGTGGGTATATGGATGGGGCTTCTGGTGGCTGTCAGTTAAGCATCCAAGCTCGGTGTTGATCTCAGGGTCATGAGTTCGAGCCCCCATTGGGCTCCGTGCTGGAAGCCTCCTTTAAAAAGTGGTTATTGGGGCACCTGGGTGGCTCATTTGGTTGGGCAGCCAACTCTTTCGGCTCAGGTCATGATCTCACAGTGGTTCATGAGTTTGAGCCCGGCATCAGGCTCTGCTGATGGTGCTGAACCTGCCTGGGATTCTCTCTCTGCCCCTCCCCCCACCCCTCACAAAACTGGGTGTTTGGAGAACAGGTTTGTTTCAGGGGCAGGAGAAAGTGTTCAGTTTGGGGGTTGTTGAGTTTGATACGACTGGGGGCCATCGGGTGAAGCTGACGACATCCGGTGGGGGCTCCCGCATTAGCATCTGGGGGCTGAGGCCCCAAAGCAGAAGAGCCCACAGACAAGTAGAGGTATGGGCGGAGCCGGGCACTCGGCAGAGAGCCACAGGGACCCTGCAGTCGGGACAGGACAGGGCCAGCACGCTCTGCCACTTGGCTTTGTGGGTGTGTTGTATCAGAGGCACATCTCAAATGAGGCCCATTTGCTTACGTTTCTGTCGCAGGCTGCTTTCCAGCCATGGAGGGCAGAGAAGAGGGCAGAGAAGGGTGGTTGCATCGGAGACCTCACGGGCTGCAAATCCTCAATTACCTTCTGGCTCTTGGCAGTAAAGGTTGCCAGTCATGAGTGATAGACCCCTGTGTTCCAAGATCCCTGCCCCCAAAATTGTGGGCTCTTGGGATTGTCAGCCTGGACATTTGGTTGGAGACCTCATGGCGCCCTCACTATCCCCAGCACTGAGCTCGGTCGTTCAGGAGCACACCAGGCCCCTGTCGTGGGGTCTTTTCTGTTTCTGCCCTCTCCATTCACCATGTCATCCGCACATCAGGGGAAGGTGGCAGTAATTATCCCCGAACCTTGTCTCTTCCTGATCCTACAAGTCAGTTCAAACCTTCCCCTGTGCTTAGAAGACTTCCGAGTTAGGTCTGTTCCGCTTATCTGCGGGGGAGGGGCTGCTAGTTAGGGAGGGAAACCTTGTCTGTAGAATGTAGCGGAAGTGTGGTCAAAAGTAACTATGGTCAACCCTTGCATGGGGCTCTGTGCTGACACTGCTGGACCTGCCTGGGATTCTCTGTCTGCCCTTTGCCTGTGGTTAGGGGAGTTAGGGGCGCTGACCCCTGACACAGTCAGAAATCCACGTGTAACTTTTGACTCCCAAAACCTAGCTGATAGCTTGTTGAGTAGAAGCCTTACGGGTAACAAATAGGTGATTAACGTATTGTGTATGTTACCTGAGTCACATGTTGTGTTCTCATAATAAAGTAAGCTAGAGGAGAGCAGATGTTCCTGAGAAAATCACAAGGAAGAGAAGATACATCCACAGTCCTGTACTAAAGAAATCCTCGTACAGGTGGACCCAGATAGTCAACCCCGTGTTCAAGGGTTGGCTGTGGTTGGAGCTGTGGATAGGAGCACAAGAAAGCCACATGCAGGCAACGGAAATGGAAGCACACCGTGCACATCCGAAGCTTGTAGCTTCAAAGGATGAATATTATTAGTGTCCCCCACATTACAGCACAGTACCAGTTAAAGCAAAGTTGGGATGGTGGATGGAAATTGGCTCTCAGTTGATACCAGTTGAAGCCAAGTTTGAGGGGCCTAGGGTTATACCATTCTGTCCATATGTGCATGTATGTGTGTGTTTTTAAGCAATTTTATTGATTTTTTTAAAAAAATTTACTTATTTATTTTGAGAGAGAAAGGGCACTCACATGGGAGGGGCAGAGAGGGAGAGAGAATCCCAAGCCTACTCCTCACTCACTGTCTACGCGGAACCCAACATGCAGTTTGAACTCATGAACCGTGAGATCATGGCCTGAGCTGAAATCCAGAGTCACACGTTTAACTGACTGAAGCACCCAGGCACCCCATTTTTTATGTGTTTGAAAATTTTCCCGACGGTGAATTAAAATGCTCCTGCTCTTGCTCGGGTGAGATGGCGGTTGAGACCTTAGATTTGGAGTCCTCCTCGGGCCCACGTTCTCCCTCCGCACCTTCACGCCCCTGGCATGTTCATTAACTTCACAACGCCTGATTCCTCTTTGGAAATCGGCACTGACTATACTTCACGTTGGGAGGATTAAGTGAAATCGGAAATGTGATGGGCTTGACACGGATCAGTGATCAGTGGAGAAGCAGCGTTCACTGAATACTGAGATCCTGCAAATCTCAGTCTGGAGGACAGGAGTGGGCTTGGAATAACATCTTACATTGCAAAAAGCTAGTTTTTGGTGGTTTTTTTTTAATGTTTGTTTATTTCAGGGAGAGTGCACGCACTTGCATGGGAGGAGCATGGGGGTGGGGAGAGAGAATCCCAAGCAGGCTCCGTGCTCAGCGCGGAGCCAGACTCGGGGCTCAATCCCATGAACTGTGAGATCCTAACCTGAGCTGAAGTCGAGTCGGATGCTTAACTGACTGAGTCACCCAGGCACCCTGCAAAAAACTAGTTTTCACAACAATTTCAGTGGGTCAAAATACATCAGGAAATAAGACAGTTATTAGTCATCATTTGATACATGAATAAACTAAAGGTGAAAACAGTTTGCTGGATCTGGGACTAGATTCCAGGTCACTCTGCCTAATGTCCTCTTAGGGCTCAGTAAATGGGAAAAGATCCTGTTTCCAAAAGAACATGTCAGAGACCCTCTGCTGAATGCCATCAGAGAACAGGTGCTAGGTGGTGTGTGTGGGTGTGTGTGTGGGGGGGTGTGTGTGTGGGGGGGGGGGGGGTGTGGGTGTGTGTGGTGTGTGTGTATGTGGGGGGTCAGAGTGGGGGTGTATGTGGGTGTGTATGTGGTGTGTGTGTGTGGTGTGGGGATGGGGAGATATAGGGGGTGTATGTGGGGGGTGTGGTGTGTGGGGGTGTATGTGGAGGAGGTGTGGGGGTGGCAGTAGGGGGGTGTAGAGGGTGTATATGTGGGGGGGTGTGGTGTGTGTAGAACTTTGTCTGAATTGTGGTTCCCTTAGCAGCACTGTGTACAGTAGGAAAACAACCTTGGAATCAGTTCTGCCGCGAGCAGCTTAGTCATTTACACTCCGCACAGACGTGGTGTCTCCTTGCCCGCGTGAGTTCGGAATTCCGCTGTGATTTCAAGTATCTGAAGCGATCAGTACGCGTTCAGAACCTTGAGACCCACATGTTCATCAGCTAAGCTAACGGGCATCCCTTGGTGGCTTCTCTGTAGCCCCTTCCACTTCCTTGCTTAGTCTAGTCAGCTCTGTTACACGTCCCCTTGGTCTGGATTGAAGCGGCTGCTCCCAGTTCATCAGCGGCGTGTTTAAGTCATCTCCTCTCTGTGTATGATAAATGGAAGCCCCACGCTGACCCCCGAGTGTTAGAACCTTCTGTGGGAGTCCCTAATCAGACATGCCGGAGGCGGCAGGCTCTTGCCCTGTCCCCCTCACTTGTTCTGCCCACCGTGTTTCTAAGTGATTCCCGTGTTCCTGCTGGTTGCATCGGGTGTGGGGCCACTGCCCCGTGTTCGAGGTGAGACCACCGGCTCCCAGACCCGTGGGCCACCAGCACGGCCCCGCCTTGCCGTCCTTTGCCAGGTTAGGTAGCTCTAAATCCCGTGCTGCGAAAAAGAAAAGGCCTAAATGAAAATATTATCTCCTAGTCTTTCTGTCTTGTCTTGAAGGTGCTTGACATCCTGCAGCACATTCAGACCCTCGACCCCGGGCAGCACGGGGCGGTGGGCTACCTGGTGCAGCACACGTTAGAGCACATCGAGCGCAAGAAGGAGGAGGTGGGTGTGGAGGTGAAGCTGCGCTCCCACGAGAAGCACAGGGACGTCTGCTACTCCATTGGGCTCATTATGAAGCATAAGAGGTGAGTGGCCGTGGCTGCCGTCCCTGCGCGGCAGCAGAGGACACGCGTGCCTGCGAGCGCGCTTCCCGGGAGCCGCGGCGACGGACTGGCCACTGCAGGAGCCGAACGAGGCTGGACTGCGTCTGCACTTTTTGTTTTGTAAGAAGAGACTTGCTGTCCTCGCTCAGGGCCTTCTAACGTAAGGATATGTAAGCCGGGGCTTTTCCTCTCATTTCCTCCTGTCCTGACGCTCCCTTTAATCTCCTTCCCCAGGAACCCCGCTGCAGGGCAAGCGCAGGGTCGATTTACGAGGCAAAACCAAACTGCATCCACGGCGACTGTGTCGGTTACGATTTATAAGCCACTAGCAGGCTGGGAGCGGAGGGTTCCTGTCCTCCCCAACGGGGTGCCGCAGAGCTTTAAAATGCACTTAACGTAGGGAATGGGGACTGGAGTTGCATTGTGTCACATTTCCCCAGGGACGACACGGATTGGCTAGTAAACCTATAAAAAGAAGCTCATTCAAGTTTCCTTTTATTAAGCACGTCTTCCAGTGTGTCCTTTTTTCATCTGAGTTACTCCTCTTATGGGTTTTTAGCCCTTTATCCTATTACTAGTGTCTGTGTGCATATATGTTGCAAATATCTTGTCCTAGTTTGGAGCTAGTATATTTTGTCCGTTTATTTTATTTTTTAAAATGTTTTATTTTTCTCTGAGAGACAGAGAGACAGCGTGAGCGAGGGAGGGTCAGAGAGAGAGGGAGACACAGAATCCGAAGCAGTCTCCAGGCTCTGAGCTGGCTGTCCACACAGAGCCCAATGCGGGGCTTGAACCCACGAACCGTGAGATCATGACTTGAGCCGAAGTCGGATGCCCAACCTGCTGAGCCACCCAGGCGCCCCTATTTTGTTCATTCAGTGCATTCTTTTTTTCTTCAACTTTAACATGGAAATTTCAAGCAGATATGAGTAGAGACGAGTATAGTGAGCCAGACGATGCTCCCATACCCAGCCTCAGCAGTTGTGGGGACGGTCCCCCTTCACTGTTTCATCCCCCTAACCCCACCCCTCCCCAGAAGCCGGTGCCAGGTGTCATTGCATCTGTGGCTCACCTGTAGCTAGTTCAGTGTGTACTAAAAGGGTAAGGCCTTGCTCTCTCCTTTAAAAGTATATTTTCCATTGTCTTGTCATATCTCAGAAAAAACCAGCTCCTTCACCTCGTCACTTAGATCTAGTCAGAGGTCCTGTTTCCCCAGTTGTCCTATAGGTTTTTAATATCCTATTAAATTAAATCCTAATATCCTAATGTCCTTGAATCTGGGTCCTTTAATACTGTTGAATTGAGTCCTCTTTTCCCTTATGGGCTGTATTTTTCGTTCCTGGTTTAAGGACTCTTTTTCTGTCCCGTGTCATGAAGCCAGCCTGCGAGTTCTGCGTTTCCTCTCTAGGCCCTTGTCCCACCAACTACTCACTGCTCTCAGGCCTGGGTCCTGACCCCTTTCCCCGGTTGGCTGACCAGTTGTCGGTGACTCTCGGTTGAAGTCTGGTTTTTCCACCTGAAGTGCTGTCTTGATAGTGAGAGGGGTTTGTGAAGGGGCCAAGAGTGCCCTGAAAAGTGCTTCACAGGGATGAGAGCAGGGAGATTTGCAAGAACACGAACTTCAGAGAAGCCCCGTCATCAGTTACGTATTTCATAGTTGCCGTGACAAGGTCCAGGGAATTGATTTGCCACTGCTCTTACATTAATTAGGTACGGCTATAACTGTGTGATCTATGGCTGGGACCCCACCTGCATGATGGGACATGAATGGATCCGAAACATGAACGTCCACAGCCTGCCTCACGGCCATCATCAACCTTTCTATAATGTTCTGGTGGAGGACGGCTCTTGTAGATACGCAGCCCAAGGTAAGCACCCAGCCCTGCCTCCACCTGTGGTGACACACAGGCCCACGTGAGCACACACTGGAGCACTCTGGTGTTGTGGCCACCGTTGTTTAGAGATGGCTCACCTCATCAGGGCCGGGGTTCTGCTGAGCATGGGTGGGTGTGCCCCGGTGCAGCCGTGCCCTGGGCCAGACAGTCCCTGCCCCTCGATTCTCCCCTCCTCACAGCCACACCCACGACCCGGTGCTGTTGCCGACCTCTGCCGACCTTTGCCATTCATATTCCCGAAAGTCTTGCTGCCCAGGCCCTGCCGTTGACTCCCTCCAGGCAAGAGGGCCGGCCGGTGCCCTGCCCGCATGGCCTGGCTGAACTGGAGGGCACTGAGCAGGCAGTGTTGGGAGGACGCCCCCAGCAGCCCCGGGGGGGCAGCCGGCCCTGCGTCCCCAGAGATGCCCTCGAGTGGCCACTGTGGGAACTGCAGCCCGCGGCGCTGGCCCTGAGAGCCCCTCGCAGTCAGCAGGGGCTCCGTGGTGTCTGGGGCCACTGCCAGCCCTGAGAGGTGCTGGTCCAGGGCCCTCGTGGCAGGGGGAGGGGGTGGCGTCTGTAGGGGCAGATGCCTCCAGTGTGGGTGCCCTCTTTCTTTGCTCCCCCATTCACTGGGGTGAATGTACTGCCTGGCTGCCTGTCAGAGCGTTCCCAGCTTTCATCTTATAAAAACAAACACAAATGTGGGGCACCCGGCTGGCTCAGTCTGAGAGCCCGCGACTCTTGATCTTGGGGTTGTGAGTTCGAGCCCTGTGTTGGGTGCAGAGATTACTAAAAGAAAACTAAATAAATAACCACAAAGGCTCGGGTAGTGCTGCTGTGTGACAGGCAGTGTTCTAACGTGTATCACCTCCGTCTGAGAGCCAGCGATACTGTCACCGTACCGTGTTGTAGATGAGGGAGCCGAAGCACATGGGGCTCGTCTAAAGTTTAACTTAACAGAGTGTGCATTTGAACCCGACACCCTGGCGGAGAGCCTCGTCCTTAAGCGTCATGGCCACACCTGTTTGTGTCTGACCTGAAACAGCAGGCTTTCCCTAATTCGGGATTGTGTATCAGATGCGTAAAGATCTCAGAACTGTCAGAAAGACTAGAAAGTCTCCTATTAATGTTCACTGGTCAGAAGCTGAGAGAGGGTTGTAAACAGAATCAAGAGAGGTGTGTTCTTTGAGGCCATGCAGGTCGCTTAGCCTCCGTCAGTGTGCTGGGCCAGCTGTAGGGGAGGCTGTGCGCCCTGTCAGATGAAGGGGCCGACGGCAACGTCATCTCACTTTTGACACCGTGCCATTAAAAACAAAATCATGTTAACAGTGTCTAAAAGCCAACAAATGATTTAGAGATTATCGGATGGCGCGGTGGGCTCTTGCACCCGCACTGATCACCTGGTAAGCACTGCACTTCACCTGTCCCAGGAACAGAGGGGATCGTCCCTTCCCCAGCACTGTGGGCCGGTGTCCACTGTGGGTGTGCCTTTGTCCCCCTTTACGTATGGTTGATATTAAGACATCTAGTATTTAACGTTTGAGTTTCTAGAAACATTTATATCAACTTTAAAATAGGCTTTTCAGAGTAGGTGGAACTGGGTGTGCAGTTTCAGGTGTTCTGAATTTGGTGTCCGTGTTGGGGATTCGGGAATTCATCCCTAACAGGTCTAAGTAGACTTTCGGGGTGAGGTTTATTAGAGTTGTGGTATGGTGATGAATTGGTTACAAAAAAAAATCTGGTCGCGATTCTGCTTTCTAAAACTGAGATTGAGCTGAGTGACTGTGAGCAGGGTTAGCAAAGTTGCCTTTTTTAGTTTGAAATTCTGAGACTTTGAGAAGGTCTTAGAAGCGAACAGCCAGTATTCCCGGACCAGAGCTGTCCGTCTGCCCCGGGGCCCTGTCGGCCCCCGGTCGCTGTTGCCCGGGTGTGGGCTGCGGGGCCAGAGTGCACCCTGGCCGTGGGCGCGGAGAGGCTTCGGGGCTCTGGGGCACCCCGTCTCTCTGTCCTTGCCCTAGGACGTCAGCTGTATCTCCCGAATGTCTCTCCTGCTTCCACCCACCGGCCTCCGCTCTGCCTGTCTGGTGAGGAGGCGTGCCGTGGGGTGCTCCAGACCCCCGCGGATGCTCGCATCTGTCTCACAGGAACTTCTAAACATAAATGCAGTGGGGCCTGGGTGGCTCACTCGGTTGAGCGTCCGACTCTTGATTTTGGCTCAGGTCATGATCTCGCGGTTCGTGGGTTCAAGCCCCACCGTGGCCTCTGCACTGACAGCACAGAGCCTGCTTGGGACTCCTCTCTCCCTTTCTCTCTTCCCCTCCCTCCCTCACGCTTGCCCTGTCTCAAAATAAGTAAGTGTAAAATAACAAGGTGAGTGTAAACAGCATGTCGTTAACAAGATGCTAACCTCCTTTTTTACAACTTTCGATTATAAGCATTTTCAAATATGCAAAATGGTCAGAAATATACATCGAATACCCCAAACACCGTCCATTAGATTCAACAGCTAGCATTTACCGTATTTGTTTTCTCAGTGGGTAGAGATGTTAAGCTTCTGCTGGACTTTTTGAGAGACTGTTGCAGACCTCACCACCTAAATGCTCAATCGGGCATCTTCTCAGAATAGGCTGTTTCTCGGCGTCGCCGCAGTTAGGTCGCCACGTGTAACAAACAGACGCTGTCTGCTGTCTGGTGCTCGTCCGTGGTCCGTCTCCCCCTTGCCCCTGGCACAGCTCTGATGGCTCTTTGCTGCTCCGTGTGACCCAGCCAGGACCCACACGCTGCAGTCGGTCGCCAGTCTCCTCCCGGTGAGGCCGGTTCGTTCCGCACTCCTCACCTTGTTTCCTTCCTGTCTCCTGTGCCTGGCCGAGGAGCCCGGCCGGGCCCAGCATTCTGGATTCGTCTCGCTGTGTCCTTCCCTGTTTGTCCTAAACTGGAGGCAGAGCCCGAGGCTGGATCCGATCCGGGTAATACTTTTGGCTCGACTGCTCACTGTCAGCTGCTGTGTGCGTCACCTGCGTCCCCTCCGGAGTGCGTGGTGACCAGTGCCCACTGTCGGCCGGCCTGCTGTGGTCCACGTAAGACACAGTTTTCCCTTTGCAGCCACCACTGACGTCCTGCGCATGTCCTGTTCCCAGGAACCGTGATCCCTCATTTTTGTTTCGGCGCCTGTTGAATCTCGTCGCCTAAATCATAGGAGAGTTGCCAATGCCATTCTCTCCCATTTCTGTGAACGAGAGCTTCGCTGGCCCTCCCTCTCCCTCCCGTTTTCCTTGCTTATTTCTCTGTCACTTTTCCCCTCTCCTCCCATAAATTCCTGAATTACTTCAATTTTGTTTAGAGAGAGAGAGAGTGCAAGTGAAGGAGGGGACAGAGAGAGGGAGGGAGAGAGGGAGAATGCACTGGGGCACCTGGCTGGCTCCATCGGTAGAGCATGCTTTTTTTTAATATGAGATTTTTTTTTTTTTCATTTTTTTGACGTTTATTTATTTATTTTGAGAAAGAGAAGGCAAGCAGGGGAGGGGCAGAGAGAGGGAGAAAGAGAACTCCACACAGGCTCCATGTTGTCAGTGTAGAGCCTGGCAGGGGGCTCAATCTCACACACCATGAGATCGTGATCTGAGCCAGAATCACGAGTTGGATGCTGAAGTGACCGAGCCACCCAGGCACTCCAGGCATGCAATATTTGATCTCGGGGTTGTGAGTCGAAGCCCCATGTTGGGTGGAGAGATTACTGAAAAGTAAAATCCTAACACTTAAGTATTTTTTGCACCTTTCCAGTTTAATTTATTTGTATCAGATTACTTTGTTTTCAGATCTCTTCATGATCTAAGTTTGTACCCTTTGGCTCCGGTAACCCTGTTGGGGAGAGCCCGCTGATGAGCACTTCCCTAATTGTAAGCTCTCCACAGAGAGTGGAGGAGTGGATTAGAAGCCACACACATCCTCAGAGAGCTTCAGTCTGCACGATGAACAGAGTTTTTCTCTCCACGTGTGAGATTTCAGCTAACCCAAGTGGGGTGCCCATGGATAACTTTTGCTCCCGCTACGGGGCACACTTGAGCACCTTCCAGACATGGGGGCCGGGGTGGGGTGGGTGGGCAGCACCTCCTGCCCAGCTTCCCGTCCCCGTGCTTAGACCCTGCAGAGAGCGAGCCTCACAGATGGTCCGCACCTGAGTCCACTGCCCGCACTGGAAGGCCAGGGACTCACCGCAGTGTGACCGCACAGTCCCGACGTAGTCTTGTACGGAGGGACCAAGCCCCTCGGGGAAGGCTCGCGACATGGTGCGCCTCGCCGAATGTCAGCTCCCGCCTCCGTAATTTGTCCCACCCTCGGGCTGTCCCTGGCAGTCTGCACGTGCCGGCTGGTGCGTGAGGGGTCCCGTGGGGGTGAGTTTGCATTCTCAGCCCTCTCGGGGGTGATGTGCTCCTTCTCCTGTCCTGGCAGTCCTTCCACCAGAGACACGCTCGTGCACGTGTCTGTTCTTGTCGGGAAAGGACAGCAGTGTCATTGAAAGGCTCGCCAGGGAGCCTGTCCAAACTGCAGAGTGCTAAGCTGCAGTTAAATGATGAGTTGCAGATAAGTGCTTACAGTATGTTTCATATCATAAACACACAGAAACATCACCAAGTTCTCTTTATATGTGGGGGGGGCTCTGCGTGGTGGCCCTGTAGCTTTACAGAACTGGATTTAGATATCTGGGAAGCTGAAATTTTTCTTAAGTAGCCTCCATGGGGCTTGAACTCATGGCCCTGAGATGAAGAGTCGCATGCTCTACCAACTGAGCCAACCAGGTGCCCCTGGGTAGCTGAAAATAAGATACACAGGCACGGGGCGCCTGGGGGCGCTGAGTCAGTTAGCCATCCCACTTCAGCTCAGGTCACGATCTCGTGGTTTGGGAGTTTAAGCCCCACATCGGGCTCTGTGCTGTCCGTGAACAGGGGAGCCCACTTCGGATCCTCTGGCTCCTTCTCTCACCGCCCCTTTCCCACTGTTGTGCCCATGCTCGCTCGCTCTCTCAAAAACAAGTAGACACATTTATGTGAAAATGTCAAGGAAATTGGGAAAGGCTTGTTAAGATTTCTCTGGGACTTTTGGGGCGCCTGAGTGGCTCAGTCGGTTAAGCATCCAACTTCGGCTCAGGTCATGATCTCCCGGTTCATGGTTCTGTGCTGACAGCTTAGAGCCTGGCGCCTGCTTCAGACTCTGTATCTTCCTCTCTCTCTGCCCCTCCCCACTCATGCTCTGTCTCTCTCAAAAATAAATAAATGTTTTTAAAAAAAAGAATTTCTCTGGGACTTTTAGGTAGGCCCTGTTTGATATTTTGCTCACTAAAGTTTAGTATTGCTTAGAGTTTTCAGTACTCTTCAGGTGAATTTTTTTTTTTAACTTTATTTAGTGGATTCGTATTTGTCCCTCATAATACATAGTACCATCTTCATTATCTTTTCTCCTTGAAAATGTTTTTGTATTAGTACCTTCTTTCCTGTTTTGCTAGGAGCCTGGGCAGGTAATGCACAGAACCCAGGCCCCGCCCCTCCTTACTGGCCAGGCATGGCTGTGAAGGTCCCTGCCACCGGCCTCCCATGTGGCTTCTCTGCCGGTCTGTGCTGTCCGTTCCTCGCTTTGGACCCACACACAGGATTCTGCACAGCCGCTGGGGTCACTTTTTTCTCCCATAACCTGACCTTGACTTCCTGTCCTCTTTGCAACACTCAGGAGCTGCTACTTAACACACAGAAAAAGAGTCGGGGCAGGGGTGGGGGTGGGAGGTGGGTGATGCTAAAGCCGACACCTGAATCCGTCAGAGCAGTCGCTGTCGGCATTTTGGTCTAGTCCGTACTTTGTGGTGGGGACTGTCGTGGGCATTTGTCAAGCGGCGGCCCCGGCCTCCCACCTGATGCCAGCGGCAGCGCCCGGTTGTGACAGTCAGACCCACGTCCACGAGCTGCCGAGTGTCCCGCCAGGGGCAGGGCAGCCCCCGGGTGAGAACCACTGCTCTGGGCAGACCGGCAGTAGAGCAGCTGTTCTGAATGAGCCACTTGAATTCTTTTTGTTTTAAATATTTCCATCATCCCTACTGATGACAGGTGGCTGTGGTCCCTGCAGAGCAAAGGGCTTTTTTGCCTCTTGGTGGTGACTCCAGAGTCTTGGCCCTTCCCCCAACACTTCTGTGTTTCTTGGTGGGAACATGTGAGGCCCTCGGCCATGGCTGCAGCCCTCAGGCCTGGCGGGGACGCTGGCGACCAGGGCAGGTGCAGCAGGGCCATTTCTCAGCCGGTGGCGATGGTAAACGGCTGAGAGTTTTTTACACTGTTTTTTCTAGCTGCAGCACAGGAAACCTATAGAACCGGGGCACCTGGGCGGCTCAGTCAGTTAAGCGCCTGAGACTTGATCTCAGCTCAGATCTTGATCTCAGGGTTGTAAATTCGAGCCCCACTTTGGGCTATGCGCTGGGCATGGCGCCTAGTTATAAAAATAAATACATACATATTAGCAGAAAAGAGAAAACCTGTAAAATCTAAAGGAAATAAAGTTCTCCGTAGAGATCCAGCGTAACGGGAGCTGCCCGTGTTCACAGACGGCTCAGTCCCCCTTCCCCTCGGGCTCCTGCGTCCACAGAGCACCGGCAGCCGGAGCCTGCGCTGCCCTCCTGGGGCCACGCGGGCCCTCCGGTCAGCCCTCCTCCGCCCCTGAGCCCTCTGTCGTGTGTCTCCTCCTCTGATGCCCTCAGCCCTGGAACTGGACTGTCTGGGTTTGAGTCCCCGTACATCCTGGGCCAGGCCTTTCTGTCTGTGTCACAGTTTACTCGGCTGCAGACGGGAGTTGTGACGAGCCCCTGGTGCACGCCGGCTGCCACGGTGCCTGGCACGCCCGCTGTGAGCGCCCATTGGTAAGAGTACAGGGAAATAGTATGCCGTGGACGGGGCGGCCCTGCCGCGTGGCCCCCAGGCTCTGTCTGTGGTGTGTTTTCCTCCCCCTTCCCTCGCAGCGTGTGGAAACCAGGTCACAGCCACGGCGAGCTGCGGTGGACCGTTAGACCGCCCTTGCGCGCTCGCTGAGTAAGGCTGGGCTCATCTCCACGCTCATCCTTGCACACGGTGTGTGTGTTTTCCTCGGCAGCACCGGTTCTCAGACTGCTGGCCCTGAGTGTGTCGCACTGACGCAGCCTGAAGAAACCAGTCGCTGTTAGCACAGAATTTCTTTACATACCTTCTCATTTTGTTAAAAAAAAAAAAAACCCAAAAGAGTCCCAGACTGAATCACGCAGTTCCTTCCCGCTCCCAGCATCAGTTAAAGTCTATGCTTCCAGAAGAGGGTCTTGTGGATGCTGGGGATGCAGGGCCTCTGGAGGGAGGGCACGGAATGTCCTGGATTTGCATTTCAGGACGTTTGCCCCGGCTCTTCTAGGGACAATTGGCTGCTCTGTTTGTGTCAGGCCCTGGGCTAGGCTTGCACGGAGAGTCGTTTGTCATCTGAGTGAGTGATAGGCAGTGCGGAGTGTGGCTCTCTCCCGATCAGAACCGAGCCTGCCCTGGTCCCCGGTCACAGTGGGACGGTCTGCCTGGCCCAGCTCCTCTTGGGGCCCGGCCCAGGGGGTGTGGCTCTGCTTCTTCTGAGTGGGGGGCTTGACGCTGTCCTTCCATCGGGCTCTTGGGGGAGCCATTTTTCAAAGTTTTGGGAGGAGAAGCGATGTGAACAGAGTTCAGCCTTTTGTTTTATTTTTTAATGTTTTTATTTGAGAGAGAATCCCACGCAGTCTGCGCTGTCAGGGCAGAGCCCAGTGCAGGGCTCGAACTCACAAACCGTGAGATCATGACTGAGCCAAAAGCAAGAGTCAGGTGCCCAACTGACTAAGCCACCCAGGCGCCCCTAAGATGTCAGCCTTCTGAATACCTTGTACATATGTCTTCTGGTGGTTTTAAGGAGTCTGGTGGCAGAATGGCGAGCAGGGAGAGGAGGTAGCAGGGTCTCCTAGGAGACCGTATGAGTAGCAATAACCCACATCCGTACAGGTGGGAGGTGCGAGCCGCCCATCGGCTCCTCCCGCGGGTTCCCCACAGCCCAGGGCAGGCTCGCCTGCACAGCCCGCAGCCGGGACTGAAAGGCACCGGGCAGGGCCCAGGCGAGGCGAGGTGAGGTCTGCGTGGGAGCCCCAGTTACCAGAGGAGACGGATGGCGGGGGCCAGACGTGCAGCCACGTGGTGCGGGGGCTCCACGAGGCGAACTGAGGCAGACGGCGGGCAGGCTTGGGTGCCCTGGGCCTTGTACGCTTGGCTGTTTGCGCGATCGAGTCAGAGGAACGTGACGCACCTGTAGTTCGCCAGTCCCCAGAGGCTGGAGAGCTGCCGGGGCCGACCTCGTGCCCAGAGAATGGGAAACATTCTCTGTTCTGTGTGGAGCCGGTGGGGCGCGTTCCTCCAGCCCCCCGCCCGTCCCCACTGCTTTTTCCCGTTACCTCTCCAGGCCCCATGCACGTGCCTTTCCTTCTCGTCTGCCTCACACGAAAGGGGGCGAGCGATAGGATGCTCTCTGGATAAACGATGCTGCAGAAATGCCCGTGTTAACAAGAATGTCCATGTGCCTCTTTACCAACAGAAAACTTGGAGTATAACGTGGAGCCTCAAGAAATCTCGCACCCCGATGTGGGACGCTATTTCTCCGAGTTTACCGGCACTCACTACATCCCGAACGCAGAGCTAGAAATCCGGTATCCAGAGGACCTGGAGTCTGTGTATGAAACGGTGCAGAATATTTACAGTGCAAAGAAGGAGGACGTAGAGTAGCGTCCAGTCGAGGACCCCGAGCCTTTGCTGCTGCCGCTGTCTCCAGGAGAACAGGATTCCGGAAGAAGACGCCTCCACGGATCTCTCTGGGTTCACACCACCAGGAAAGCCACTTAGCCAGTGGCGCCGGCTGCCTCCTGCCAAGTTTAAGTGACGTGTGCTCTCCTCCAGCCGCAAAGACAATGTCGCTCTCCGCTACACTAGTGAATTCATTTGACGGCACTGTGTTCAGTGGCATGGCTTGTGTGCTTGTCCTGTGGTGACAGTCTGTGACACTCTGTCTTCATGAGGCCTCACAGTCGACACTCGTAGAGTCCTCCTTCCTGCCCACTTCCCGTTACGTCTGTCTACACTCGTCTCCGACCGTTCCATTTGCCGGACCGACGGGGTTCCGCGTCCGCACCGGCTCCTTGCTGGGCTCGCCGCAGAGCGCGTGGCCCGGGGCGGGCACCGGGGCCCCTTCGCCCTTTCCGCTGCTCTTCAGCTGCAAGGACTTTAACCCACGGATGCTGATCAGACCCATCCGGCTTGTTTGTTCCAATATGTGAAATAGATTTCAGCCGTCCTCACCCTTCCTTTACCTGAAGCGGGAGTGCGCCGAGCCTCGCCCTCCCGGTTCCCCCCGGGTCCACGCTCCCCTCTCTGCGAATCCTTAGTTTTCTTGTCTCCCTCACGTGAGATCTTGTGAGAAAGTGCACCGTCATGGCCTTTATGGATGGATTTTCCCACAGTCGTCTACTTTTCCTCCTTTGAAATAAGTACTTTTTTTCCTCTTTTAATTCTAAAAATTATTCCAGTATCGTAAATAGATCTTAAGTCCGTGACGGGTTCTCCTTATAGTAGGAAACGCAGTCTGGTGTTAAAACGTTCACTTCTAGAAACCACACTCTGTGGTCTCCAGAGACCTAGAGGAGGTTTCACTTTTGGAGTCAGAAAAAAAGAAATCATGAACCTTACACATTTTTTAAGAAGGAAAGAGGAGGTTCCACGTCCCCTGTCACCACCCAGACTCCCCCTCAGACCCAGCCGGCTGTGGCAGGGCGGACGCAGTAAGACGTCTTTCATCTGAGGGGTGCCCATCCGGGGGGGCGGAGGTGGGCGTGTCCTGCTCCCTCGAGTCTCCGCCGCCCCGAAGGTCCCCGGGCTCCCGCTCCACACCCTTGGCCCCCGCGCGCCCGCCGCTCTCCACCTGCCAGTCCTCACGCGAGCTAGCTAATTCGTAGTTAACCGGCAGAAGCTAACTTCCGGAGTTAGGTCCTACTTACGCTTCTCTCGGAATCGAAAAGACCCCGCTTGCTGTAGGGAGCAAGGAGGCCTCCCGGGCTGCGATCCGACCCCGCCTCGCCCCCCTTCTGTGCATTTATCTGCATGTGGTGCCCCACACCCCGTTTGATGACGGCCTCGTTTCCCCCTTTGGAAGCCCCGGGATGACCGAGGTTTGGGGAGGCCACCAGAGACCACTTAGTCCCTGACGGCTGGCGAGCCGCTGTTAGAAAGAGACGAGGGTCTGGCCGGCCCCCGCCAGCCCGAGTTCGCACTTGCCAGTCAGATCCAGAGCCTGACGGTCCCGGGCGGCCTGGAAACCCGGCCACTCCCGGCACCCGGCCCTGGCGGGCCGGGGCTCTTACACTACTCTTGTTTAAAGGTGAGAACTAGTTAATCTCGAGGTAATACTAACAGAAGCATTACTAACAGACTGTGGAGCATGCTGAGTTATCGTTGCTGGTTTCCTGGTTTGGTTTCCTTTTTTCTTAGAGCAACATCAAAGCCAAGAAGGATGGTTTGACCTTTACTGACCCAGTGTAAATATGTATCTAGACCGTTTTTAAATGTGTTTCTTCATGAATGCTTCATTTGGCTCCAGGAAGCCTGTGTCACCTGTGTAAGTTGGTATTTGGGCACTTTATATTTTTCTAAAACCGTGTTTTGGATCTCCTGTACTCTAATAAATCGTAAGTTTCTTTTTAAAATTTTTTCCAAAAGTTTTCTCCATTTAAAGAAGTCCTGTCATAAGAAAGTAGGACTTTTGCAGTGTTAAAATACTAAACATTTGGGTATAGTAACTTCCTTTTCTCTTCAAACGAATGCCAAGGTTTTTTTGTACAATGATTAATAAATGGAACTTACCCAGAGAAACCACGCAAGTGGCCTGCACGGTCTCGTTTCGGAACAGAAAGCCTGGCCCTGACGGCGACAGAACGCCTCTGGCTTCCCTTCTGATCCCAACATGCAAAGCTTGGCTCCACTGAATTTTTCTTAACGTTGGTGAGTGAACAGGGTACCTTTATTCTGTGGGTTCCCGGCCAAACAGCAGTTTTATAAGCTGCCCGGGAAGGCTGAGGGCACCTGGCTGTAATGCGAACGTTGCAGCCCTTTGCTGACGTTAGAGACCTTGGCACAGAGGGAGAAGGGCAGGTGCCGGTGCGTCGTTGACGAGGCGACAGCTGCACGACGTGCTGCGTGTCCACGGCGCCCCGCGGAGCACGCGTTGTCCGTGACGTCCCCGCGGGCCATGCGGAGAGCAGCGGTCCTGTGCCACGCGCTCGCCGGTGTCCTGCGCTGCGGTGGGTCTCGGGCCCGTCACGTACTGTCGTGTGATGTGACTTTATGAGAGGAGAGTGTACTGTGCTGTGTCTTCCCTGCTTTTCAGACCCCAGGACTTTCCTCCACAACACACACACACACACACACACACACCCCTCACACACAGCCCCCTCGAGGTCCGGTGTTTGCAGACGTGCTTTGGGAAACGCTGTGCCCACACACACACACACACACACACACACACACACACACACCCCTACACACACAGCCCCCTCGAGGTCCAGTGTTTGCAGACGTGCTTTGGGAAACGCTGTGCCCAAAACTAGCCTGCCTTCTCCTCAGGCTAGTGTGGCCACGCGGCTCTCGTTTGGAAACGTCCATCTAGCCCGATTCTGGAAGGCTGACTCACGCGCATCCGCCCAACCCTCACGGGGGAGCTCCGTCGGAAGCGCGTTCGCACGGCGAAGCTGTTTTACGCGGGAGCCAGCAGTCATCCTGTTGCTGAGGCGGTTTTGCATTTCAGAACACCTCCTGAAAGACCTGTTCTCGTTTTAAAACGTCTCTTTCTTAGCGCATTAAACCGAGTCCAGCGTTTGCGTTCTAGGCTTTCTTCCACCACTAGAAGGGGAAATCCTTGTTTGCCTTTCTCCATACTCCAGGTACGTGAACTCAGATTACCAGCAGCCTTTGTCATTTGAAAAGTATCCTGTGGCCATAATAATCCAGACGTAGCTCTTCATGTTTTCTTGTTTGTTTTTTTGGAGGAAAGGAGCGGATGTTCATTTAGACGAAACGCAGAACTTGGCCCTGTGACCGCTTTATTTCTGGAGACGTCGACAGTTGTATTGCATGTGTTATTTTGTATTGCAAGCTTACCTTGAGCCAGCACTGGCCGAACCTGTATTCTTCACGGCCGCCCTCTAAGGCAGGGCCAGGTAGTCAGTTATTTTTCCGGGCCACGTAAGGTCACATGTTCTTTGTTCTTAAAAACGTAGACGACCTTCTCGGCTCGAGGCCCGTAGACAGAACAGGCCCTGGGCTGGGCTGGCCCGCGGGCCCCGGTCTGTGGCGCTCTGCTGAGGTGCGGGCCCCGCCAGCCCCCTGCCGCACAGGCGGGGAGCCCAAGCGCGCCGCTCGCTGGTGGGACAGCGGGCGGGAATCCGGGGTGTCTGACCTCCGAGGAGCCCCGGCTCCGGACAACCACACTACCGCCACCTGTAGCAACTACCTCGCACTGGTTTTATCCTTTGCAGCCACTTTACCTTCTAAACGTTTCGGTTCTGAAAACTTAGAATCTCGAGAGGAAAGGACATTCCTGCGGTGACTAAAATTCTGTGCAATTCTAGACTAACTGTATTATGGCCATTAGCGATGATTGTATTAGGGTGATGCCGGTTCTGTAATAAATAGACCCAAAAACATACCATGGCTCGAACACAATAGAACTTTCTTGCTCACCTGACACCAGGCCGGGGAGCGGGGTGGACGGGGGCCCTGCTGTCCACCTGCCGTATGTGGCTCCCAAGCACACCGTGGGGCCATCGTCCACCCGTCCCGAAGGGCAGTGAGCGCAGAGGGACATGTCTGGGGGCCCCCACGCGCGGAGGCTGGGGGTGGCCCTGGGCGGCACGGCCACTCAGGTTACGCAAGGGGGCTGGGAACGAAGCCCTGGAAACCGATGCGGCCAGTTCCCCCTGCGTGTGCTTCCTCCGCAGGGAGACGGCCTCTGCGAGGTCAGGCTGTCCACGATGGCGGACACTTCAGTCCAGAAACTCGCTGGCTTGGGCCGCAGCAGCACGGCCACCAGTGGGGGCCGGGGGGGAGTTAACTCCTTCATCCACACTCCGCAGTCCCTGCAGCAGATGACCATGAGAGGGACGGAGGGGACAAGTCACATGTGTCGCTTCTGCCTCAGGGACCAGACGAGTCGTGCACGCACCAACCCACAGCATAACTCTGGGGGAGCCTTGGGAATGCCTCCCGTGCACCCAGAAGGAAAAGGAAAGGTTTGGGGGCTCCGCCACATCTGTGCCTCTCACCCCAACCCTCTCCTACCCACTTCCTGTGTCCTGTCCAGCGTCCGTCCAGCATGGCTTCTTGGGGACCAGCCCCATGAGCTAGAAGTTTTGACACTCCCCTCCCCCCGCTACACATTCAGTGAGGGTGCAGGGGCCAGACAGCTGCGGTACAAAGTGCCATCTGGAAAAAGAACGAGAAGCACAGAAGCCAGTGCTGCCAGTGACAAGATGCTGCTGGGCAGGCACTGTGAAGCCACCCCACGCCCCCCATGGTGGAGGGGAGAGTGGCTGCTGTACCCCTCCTGCCCTAAGCCCAGGCCTCCCTGGTCACACCATGACTGGGGGGTGGGGGTGCGTCCTCCCTGGGTGCTGGGCACCTTGTCCGTGTACTTCTGCCTGGTGCAGGTTTGGGGCGAGCCCTGGGTGCCTTTATTTTTACCAGCTTGTGATTCCTCGGGCAACGATCCCTACAAACCCTTAGCCGGCTACTCACCCATCTTTGCCTGTGATCATCGTTCTTTTCCAGAACTTTCCAGTCTGCTCCATTTCCTTGCCTGTGCCTGCCTGTCTCTCCCCCCGCCCCCTGACTTCAGCCTGCTATTAACCACAGCTGAGTCCAGCTGTTTAAAGAGCCTGCGTGGCTCAAAGCGATTCTCATGCTCCTCTCTTGCTGGGGGGTGCACGGAAACAGCTGCCTTCTTGAACCTAGGAAGCCCAGGATTTCTGACCTCTGGTTCTCATGTTTTTCCCTGAGCGTCTTCCTTGTGACACCAGCAGGCGGCCGGCACACCCTGTATTCTCTCAGCTGCCTGCTCTGGACCCGCCGCGGCACTGCTGGCTCTAATTGCAAACGGTGAGCAGAGCCCCAGACACGGCCTTTGCACCTCCCAGCTGCCGCACCTGTTCCTTGCCCCCGGCTGCCGAGCCAACGCTGTACCATTTAGGTTTTTGTGACAGCGGATCCCCTTGCAAGGCTTTTAGTTTTGGGGGCGACGAGGGTAAGGGGAGGGTGGTTTTTTGTTAAGTTTCAAGTTAGGCTACTGTTTCCATAGGAAATTCTCCTTCCCCGTTTGGCAGAGCAGAAAAACCAAACACGAAACAAAAAAACACAGCTGAAGACAGTGACGGCAAGCTTTCTGGGGATTAGAAAGAGCTAGAAGCACCTTGTTCAGTGAACTTAGGAAAAGAAGTTGACAGAATAAAGGAAAGAAATCTGGGGAAGAACCAGGCGGGCAGTTCTAGAAAGAATCCTCGCAGGGCCAGAATTCCCAACTGCTTCCCTTAGAAGGACACAGATCTTAACGGAGACTTTCATATTCAAGCCGCAGAAGTCGGAGCACTCTGAGTGAAGGCTCGTTTTTTCCTCTCCGTCTCCAAAACCTTGTCCCCGCCCCCCGCATTGGGTTTTGGAATTCTCTAGTAACCCACCACTTACTATACGGTGATGTCCTCCCTCGGTCATGGCCGCAGGACAGGAGGACATTGACTTCCCTCCTCCCTGCTTGCTCCTTTGGCTGGTCTGCCCATTAAATTGACACGAAACAGATGAACAGGAGAAAAGCTAGTAATAAATGTAATTTCTTACTTAGGGTTGCCCGTAGAAAAGCCCATAAAGCACTCAGAGGAGTGCCCAGAGCGGGCAGCTTGGTACCTTCTAGACAAACGACACATTTGTGAAGAATCGAGAGCAAGGGGTTTGGGTGTGGGGGTCGCAGATTAGTGGAGAAGCAACCGGGGTTGTTTCCACAGCCTTCTCGGCCCCCAACTGCCTGTCTTTCCCCTGGCAGAAGGAGGGTACCGAGCCCAAGGGAGGTGGATTTCCCGCTCTCAGGGGGGCAAAGGAGGGTCAGAGTGTCCTGGACCTGGCTGCACTTTCGTTCCAAATAATAAGCCACAGTTGGGTCCTTGGGGGCGCCCGCCCTGAGCCCCACCTCCTGTTCTATGCAGAAGACTTTGCCCGCAGGCTCTCCTACGGGCCCCCCCCTCAAACCCCCTTCCTGGCTTTGCTCAGCCTTTTTTTCTCCCCCACCCACCCCAGGAACTTCAGACAAGTTTTTCCTCATCACCTCCCCCATGAAATTGTTTGGCTCTTTTTTTTTCTCAATTTAGGTGAAATTCACATGACATAAAATGAACCATTTTATTTTATTTTTTAATTTAATTTATTTTATTTTATTTTATTTTAATGTTTGTTTTTGAGAAAGAGAGAGACAAAGTCCGAGTAGGGGAGGGGTAGAGAGGGAGGGAGACACAGAATCCAAAGCAGGTTCCAGGCTCTGAGCGGTCAGCACGGAGCCCGACGCGGGGCTCAAACTCACAAACTGTGAGATCACGACCAGAGCTGAAGTCAGACGCGTAACCGACCGAGCCCCCCAGGCACCTCTAAAAATGAACCATGTAAAAATGTACAGT